CCGCAAATGATCCCCAACCGCAAATGATCCCGAGACCGCAAATGATCCCCAAAATGGACCGCAAATGATCCTCGACCTCAAGTGATCCCCAAAGTCGACCGCAAATGATCCCGAAAGAAAAATAGGAATGACTTGGACTCAAGTTCGCGGATCATCGTGTCGATTTTATTATTATTATTATTACAAAACGTCAGATTAAAAGCTAAATTTCACTTCTCAAATAAATCTATGAATAAAAACTAAATGAAAGAAAATCATTCAAGTGTAAAAACGAAGTCGGTAGGCAACACACGACTTTTACCTCATGCTAAAATGCTGCTTGTTCCAATGAATTTTTTCCGGCTCTGGCGGGTAGATTATACCTCTGAAAAAAACGTTTTGACTGAGCAAATGTGATTTTTGCTTCTTATTTCATAGTGAGAGGTCATGACACGCATTTTCTGCGGTTATTGTTGTTTTTGGTCGGCATGATTTGCCCTTTGATGCAAGAGCATTTCCTTTGACCTCTTTTGAAGTGCAGTGCTCTTAATTGCCGCTAAATAAGGGTTTTAGGTTGTTTAATTTTTTTGCAAAGTGCCTCCTGGATCCGAATAATTATAAGCGGTTTTCTTTCTTGTCCGTGAATGTGACGGTTTCCTACGATGTTTTGTCACACGATAACTACCGCTTACCTCACTTTTGCGTTTCTCATTACCAGGTTTAGATTCCTGGTAACTGTCTCCAGCAAAGGCAAAACAAATGAATACACATAAAAGCGTCAATATAACTATTCGCAACATGTTCATGAGCTGTAAGAAAGTTGCTATTTGGAAATAAACCGAAACTTGTGGACATTGATAAGTTCGGGGGCATTTTGACTTGTGTTTATGTGAAATCATGTCTTGTTTCATAATGGCCACCTAAGTTACGAACAAATGTCTTGCTGTTTATCACGTAAAATTAACACTTCAGAGAAAAATCAAAATTAAATATTCTGAAAATTAATTTCACACTTTCAAAAAGATCAGTAAAGTCAATAAAGCTCTTGTTATGTACTAGAGGGTGCCCGGCTTTGTATTCCTCAGCTTCTAGGCGTTAAAATAATAGGGTCTTTTCTGCGTAACGTCCTGCCTATCTTAAATTTTTCAGCGACGAAACATTCTTGAAAGAAAATTGAAGCCATTGACAAAGGAAGAAGTATACGGTTAATACCATATCCTTTTCAGATTTATTCCATTTTTTTTTCCTTTGAATAAATTGACCTGAGATGTAGCGTCCTCCTTCCCTTTTTCTTTAAAAGGCGAGAGAAAAAGGTTTCTTTGTTATAATCAGTCCTATAAAATCTATTCCATTCCCCAAGTTTTCACGGGATCATTTGAGGTCGACTTTAGGGATCACTTTCGGTCGAGGATCATTTGCGGTCCATTTTGGGGATCATTTGCGGTCTCGGGATCATTTGCGGTTGGGGATCATTTGCGGTACTGTACAGTACTCAACAAATATTTGTACGGGAGGCTCCGCCCCGAGGTCCAACTCCTTACCCGTCGAGAAAGCGTTCTATATTTGTGACTGATTCCTATTTTATGACAGTGCGGGTTTCCAGCAGTTAAAACAGATACAAAGTTATAGGCAAGGTATGTGAAAGGAGTACCATTTGTCAATAGGAGGTACACAAAATTGTGAAAAATGGTATATAAAATTTGTTGAGTACCCCCCACCCCCCGCCCCTCCCGGGCTGCTATGTCAGTATGACGCTGGGCCCATCTCATAAGTGTTGTTTCAAGGATTTCGAATTTTCACGGATAGTGAGATCTTCAGATTTGGTTTGTACACTTGGCCAAGTATAGAGAATTATGCTCTGCGTGAGTCAAGATCATTCTCTAACCGCTGATAGCCTGATGCAGTCCGTTTAATTTTTTTCTGAGATCAGAAGTGAGTATTTCAACACAAAAGCGCGATGTCTTGTTGTTCCTTCGTAGGAATTGACTGTATAAATTCTGCAAGAATGCAGTTCCTCGTCAGTTGCTACTATGATAAAGTCTTTAGTGCATTTAAATACTAATGGCTATAATCGAAAATACTGATATGCCATTGGCTGCAAAGAAACGCGAAACTGAAGTTATAAATAAAATATCCTTCCAAATAATCGGGGCTTGAGAACTAATAGGAAATTGATACCTGAGGGACATTTTATGCAAGTTAAAAGAGAACGAGTTAGGTAATCACGAAAATCACAATTAAAGTGGAGGAGCAAGGAAAGAGAGGCAGGTGGAAGGCTATTAAAGTGTGAGAATACAAAACAAGAAACATGGAATTTATAGAGTGAATGGAGGGAAAGAATAAAAAGCTTCGAGACTAGGAGGCTTAGAACGTGTTCGTGGAGGAGAAAAGGTGATAATTCGCGAGATTTGTTCAAGCAGACTCTCAAGGTCATGTTTCACATTATCACACGAGCTTATGAGTCGCGTTTGGCCTGTCAGACGCTAATTTCTAACTGAATCACAGGAAAAAATAACGGATTCCCATTTTTGGATATTTTAGGGTATCTAAAGAATACCCATAAAAATCCCAAATTTGGCAAAGTGAGACAAGTCCCAACCAGGGAATTCCCAACCAAGTTCCCTGATTGGGACTTGTCTCTCTCTTCCAAATTTGGGATTTTTGTGGGTATTCTTTAAATACCCTAAAATATCCAAAAATAGGAATCGGTTATTTTTTCCTGTAAATTGATCGTTGTTTCGGTCAGCATTCGTGAAATAGCGTTCACAGTCTCTCAAGAGACAATCCACGGATTCCATCAAATTCGTTGTCGGGGAGCCAACAACCATCACTACTGTGAGGGCAATGAATAAGAACCAAACCTTGCTCGAAATGAACGCGACCATTGCAGCCATGATTGATTTAACCCGAAGTTACCTTTCATCTCCATCGTACATGAAGGGGTTTTTGGCTGACGGTATAATTCGATGCCTCTTATACATGCTTGTTTGTAACGCATATATATGGACTTTTTTGTGCGCACATATATGCGCGTTTGTACCCACAAAGCAGGAAAGAACGCAAGTATACGTGACAAAAAAACGCACGTAATATCGTGTAGCAGGAATGATTGCTAGTATACGTGGGAAAAAACCGCACGTATATCGTCTCATAATTTTGAAACAAATGGCCGACCATATTTGAGACTCTTTCAGGAAAACATACTCTTTGCCTCGTCATTAGAGTAGGGCATAATTTGTACACATTTTAAAGTTTCGCAGTGTTTTTTTTTTTCGTATGAATCTTTTGTCCCCACCATGAGGTATTTGCAACTTTCCGAAAAAAAAAAAAAAGACAAATGCCGGGGGGATGGGCACGCTTGAAATTGATGGAGCCATTGAAGGCAACCTCAGTAACAGATTTCGTATCAAATTCTAACGGAGAAAACGGCTACTTGGAAGTCAGTTTACTGTTGTAGATACTTGTAAGGTAATCACCTTCCTATACTGGGAGTGGGACTAGATTAATGACCTTTTTGCTCTCTCTCATCTGATGTGTCACGTGATCTCGAGATACTGATTTTTTTCACGCAAGGAATCCGCCATGAGAAAGCAGAGCGTCTGCGCAGAAGGAGGGGGATATCGAAAATGGCGTCACCGTCACCACCCTCGCGAAAAAAAAAAAAAAAAAACTTTCGGAAAGTCCTTATTTTTCCCTGGTTGGTTTGTCGCTCGTTCAGTCGCTGCGCGACCTCATTGAAGCTCGCTTCGATTGCTTCTAAGAACGTATGAGAGATCGACTTGTAGCAAGTCTAAAACACACAAAACAAGACAAAAAAATTCGCTCTTTAAGTTTTTCTTATTACAGCTTAATCACAGGGATAAAAATTCGAAAGAACATACAATAATAAAATGTCTTACACCCTATTTGAAAGTACAACTCTGTCTAGGATTCCAACCACGTGGGAATCGTGCTTTCGCACTCCTGCGCTCGATGGTTACGCAAGTTTAGGTTTCGCTTAAAACAAGCTTGGCCTTTATCAGATCCCTTGTGTAGGTCTTCATCTTCCAAACGCTTTTCAGATGCAGTAAACTTCACTCACAGTTTACCATGTAAAATCACTGCTTATCAAGACTTAGACCCAGACCACACGTATGTGGATATTTTTGAAAACGGAGATGTTCGCCGGTCCACGCGAAAACGCTGAAACGATGAAAATACGACAGCATCTCTCACAGAGCTTGAGTCATGCAAGAAGTACATGATGTTTGACATCAGCTCCGTTTTCGTCCGTCCAGACGTAAACGAGAAGCTGGCGTTTTCAAAACTCTCCACTCTAACGAGCGTTTTTGAAAAAATGCGTCTTCCGTCACCGTTTTCATCTGATACGCGTGGACGGGGCCTTTCTTTAGGGACGGACCAGTAGAAAAGTTATTGGGGGGGGGGGGGGGTGGGTAATTTTTCGAGCCGCAGGAATTTTTTTTTCGTTATCCAATTCCTTGTATGAACTTTTTTTAGGCCATAGCATGAATATTTTTTTAGCATTAATTGGCGGGCAAGAATTTTTTTCATTTAAGTTTCCCTTGCGCAAATATTTTTTTGTACTCCGCCCGCCACCCCCGCCCCCGCTCGCCCCATAAATTTTCTCATGGTCCGTCCCTTATTTCCATGGTTGCACTGTCATGAAAACATGATAGCAAGCGATAATGAAATTAAATGAAAGCTGATCAGGTTACATTTGTCTTCGGAAGCGAACACATAAATTGAGAAATCATGTAGTATTTACATGGGCGAGTTGCACTTTGCTCCAAGCAAGACAAGTTAAGATTTGTGAGGTAATATAGAGCACTGATAGTCCTTCACTTAGCACCATGACTTCGTCTCCATCCGGTGGTTACAGCTAAAATCAACCCAAAGAAGTGTTGAGTCGATTCCATTTGAAAACCAACACCTCACAACATCTCCAGGTAATGCGTGGTTTTTGGTGCTAGATAAAAATGTTTTTCCTTGTTGGTAGCGAGAGGATCTTTAACACAGACTAATCAGTCTTCGTCTGGTTGGGCTTCGGGAGATTTGTTGTGTCTTTGCATGGACTGTAACGCTTTCTCCCGGAGCTTCTTTTCCAATGTTTCCGTGTCATCCTCTTCCATACTTCCATCCGACTGCTTAAAGAAAAGAGAAGACAACACGGTCGCTATCTCACAAAATCAACCTAGACGCAGATTAAACAAGGCACATTTCATTAACCGAGCTCAGTTCACACAGTTTGGGACGATCCAAATGAATGAACTTCGCCTGCCACGTTTATTACGATAATTCTGCCACACCGAAAACTTCAGTTCATTTTCACTTCGACTCCATCGGAAAAGATTTGTAGAACCGATCCGGGTTAGACGTGGAAATTTTATGCCTTACCAATCGAGATTTACAATTTGATTCATGAAAATTACTGCATGTTCACCCTGGCATTAGTTTTGGTTTGCTGTCAGTTCTCAATGAACCCCAAACGCATTTGTCACGATCGATCACCGCACGGCTTTTAGCGTTTACGAAATCGCTCGCGTGGCTTGTCTGTTGTGTAGTTTACACTGCGAGCAGAGGTTTCTCTCTTGCAAGGCTTTTAGCGTTTACGAAGTCGTTCGCGTGGCTTGTCTGTCGCGTAGTTGGTTAACGGCGAGGTACGTGATGTAAAGTGATACTACAATACTTCCTAATCTTTTTTGTTTTCGAATGTTAATAGTAAGAAAAACTTTTTAAAATTCAGTTTCGGATCGATGCAAGGAAAAGGGCAGGAAAACGGAAATCCAGAGGTCATTTATAAATTACAAAAGAAAAGAAAATGAAATACCTGAGGTAAAAAAGGGAAAATTAAAAAGAAAAGAAGAACGCTTCGTTTTAAATAATAAAAAGCAAGCTATCGTGGGAAGAAAACATCTCATTCTTTAAATTTAAGAACGGCCTAAGGATGTATTTTTGTGGCCGGTATATGAACATGTAAGGCCTGGGTCAAAAGGCGAACTTTTTACAAGAGACGAACCTGATGGTAATGACCAAGAACAACAGACTTTGCATATTGATAGTTTTCACAGTGACGTCATCAAATGGATTCACCATGCGTGAAACGTTTCGGCAAGTAACTCAGAAACTGTGGGCCACAAACACCTGAGTTTTGGACAAATTGTTTATATATTAGTCTTTTATAACATTTCATTTTCTTGGCTTCTTCCACTGGACGGTTTCCAATTTATTTCTTTGTGCCGTGTTTATTGCGTGACAACGAAAACGAAGAATTAAACATTTTTAAAATGCTCGTCGCATATGAATTGACTTGGCTTGAGCCATAGGACATTCAATATTTAACTCATTCATATGTTAATTCTAAGCACTTAGCTTAACTTTACCGACATTCGTAAATATAAATCGCACAAATAAATAAATAAGTTGGCAAGTAAATAAATAAATAAATAAATAAAAATACACTAAATGTTTTATATGAACATAATTATATTTATTGCTCACTACTATACTCGACAATATTTCTAAAACCTTGCATTTGTGACATTTGTTCCGCATAACTGAGTTTCGTTGTTGTCGAGTCATTCTGCACCTGAGGATTGTCACGTGAAAATTAGTCTCAGTAAAAAGCACTGATACGGTGTAAACATGGTGTCGATCTCTGTACTTTTGACTTTCAGACACTGGCTATGAAAATGGCGCTCCTAAATTGCACGAAGTTTCTTCCACAACGTTGTGGACGTCGACATCTTTTCTCAACAAGGAAGCTGTTATGGATGTTAGTCTTATTTTACGCGTTATTTGTGGTTCTTCTTATGCATACGTTTGGTCTCCGCATAATAAATGCTGTTGACAAGAAATTCAGCAGTGAAATTAACTACTCATCCGGTCAACCAAGGATAAACTTCTCCAAAGTTACACTGAACCTTTACGACTCGCCACCCTCTGAGGACACAAGGCAAATAAATACTGTGACTCCTCGGCAAATAGTGAAAACAACAGATGGGAAGGAGGAAACTGCCACCATAACAACAAAGAAAATTAATTGTCAAAGCTGGTGCCACTTAAAAGAAAACTCATCGAAGCCTTTCTTTTTAACAGCCGTGCTTCTTGTGCGAATTTACTATAAAGACCTCGCGAAGTTAACCACTCGGGAAATGAAACAATGGCTTTATTATCTTCGGTATACTGGATTTGAACACGTTTATATTTATGATGCTTACGTGCTTAAGAACGAGTCACAAGCTCTAGCTTTGAAATCACTTATTGACGAAGGATTTGTGACTTATGTTGACTGGAGTCACAGAGCATATCCATATTCCATTGGCGGCACACAGCACGCCGCTTATCAGGACTGTATCGAGCGATTTGGGCATGAAACTGTGTGGCAATCAGCGATTGATATCGACGAGTACCCTTTCAGCCCCACGGATCAACAACCTTTCTTCGTGCAAAGAGCTGTAAAGCAGTTTAGTAAAAAGGTGCCCCGAGCATCAGAATTAACCATGCAAAATTTTTTATTTCTAGGAAAACCACTGGATGATAGCAAACACCCTCTACTTATCGATAGAATATGGCGGAGAACACATGGACCCGCAAACCCGCTTGTTAAGCCGATATACAAACCTGCTCATGTAAGCAGGGCGATAGTACATCACAACTCACTTAAACAGGGAACGTCGATAAATTTTCCCGTAGATCTCCTACGTTTAAATCATTATTGGGGAGCCAGACTGCAAAACTGGGGTGAAGATACCCCCGAAATTATTGCGAAAACACAACCGGATCGCTTAATGCAATCTGTTGTAAAAACCTTATACAATTGCGTAAATGACTGTCTACCAAGCCCGGATGTTGTTTACCTCAAACATTGGAACTAAAAAAACTGTTCTGCTTCCAATTTTAGATTTGATAGGACAGGCTAATTCAATTTGTTTTATCTTCTTTGGATTTTTTTCAATCTTCAAAGTTGCAGAGGCGAAAGTTTACCAAGCGGCAGTTAATAATTTCAAGCTGTTGCCATATACACAGTCATTTAGTCGTTTCTTTTCGACACACAGTCATTTTGCTAACTGGAAAATTTTTCACTTTTTAAAACGACAAACATACAAGGCAACTTGGTAGCGTGACTAATATTAAATTTCGAGTAACAAAACACTGAAAATTAGGCTCGATGATTTCTAAACAGTAACGCCAATCACACATGCTTTCAAATTTCGCATACATAATTTTCAGCTGTCCGACGAGGGGCTTTTCAAGATTCGATTATTATTCGTCACTTTATTTTGTAGGCGCTACACGAGACGGACACATGTTGAGAGGGCGCATTTACAAGCATACGTATACTCAAATAGAATTCAAGTCCACATGCAATCTAGGCGGCCCTAGCCACGAACACTTAAGAGGAGCTTTGTCAATCGACTTTTTCCGCATTCCACTCTAGTGAGCACGTAATGAAGGTTGACCGGTCGTTTCACCTGCGAGTCGTTTCGCTAACGTCCCGTTCGGTAACGTTTTACGTCGTTCCGCTGAGAAGCGAACCGAGTGCTGCGCATGTATATGCTTCGTTCTCTCAGCCATGATACAAAAAAGTGCGATACCCTACAAAGCCGTTTTTAGAGTCGTCACGCAACGCTCCTCCCCACTGGGGTTGCGTGACGACACTAAAAACGGCTGTGTAGCAGACTAGTATACAGCTATTTCGAGAGAGGTTGTCGGAAAACATGTCCACGCGACAATCCCGAAAGGTAATATGGGATATGATCAATACACTGTTCCTGACACTGTAGCTGTAGAACCTACTTTTGTTGCTTTCCTTTAGCACTCGCAGACATATGTCCACGGCCTCTCCTGCCATTCTTTTAAATTTCTTTGAAAAACAGTCAGCTCAAAACCACCCACAATACCTTTCGGGTTTGTCGCGTGCACTTTTTCCGACAACCTTTCTCGAAATAGCTGTATACCTACACTGAAAATTAAAAAGATCTGATTCAGCCCCAAAGTGTCAATTCAGCCCCGCAGGACAAAGTCTGTTCAGCCCTTCATGGAGCCATTTGAGCACAATTAAGGCCAGAAAAGCACAAACAGAAGGCTATTACAGCCCACGCTTGGTCCCATTTCACCCCTTTGGGACCAAATCAGCCCTAGCTAATTGGACTGTATTGGCCCTGGTTTAAGGGAGCCAAATTAGACTCAAACAGGGTTCATACAAAAAATTCCAACCCCTTTTCAAGGACTTTTCAAGGGCTTTTCAACGACCACATTAAATTTTCAAGGACCTTCTACTAGGAATATAATTTCACGGATTGTACAAAAATGCACATTTCCAGTCTATTCTTCTAAGGCTCTAAGACTTGAACTGTTTGGTTCGCCAACTTCTCTACATTTTTCAGTTCACTTCTCTTAAATTGATAGTTAATTATCGCATAAAAAATTGAGCACTTTGTGTAAATAACCTTTAAATGCTCTGAGTTATGATTCATATTCTGTTTTGGATAATGAAAAAGCGTCAAAGAACACTTTCCAGGCCACTACATTCGAAGTTGAAAAAAATTCAAGGACTTCCCCTAAAATTCAAGGACTTTTCAAGACTGTGCCAACCCTGTCAAAAATAGGACTGTATTTTACTCACCGAAACGGCCCCATTTTTAGGGCTAAAACAGATCTTTCTGATTTACAGTGGTTCTTGCACTGATAAGGCGAAAGCAGTTGGGGAACTGACCCAACAAGTAAGCGAAATGACTTCGGAAGTCGGCGAACACAATCCGGGACGTTAGCGAAACTACTCGCAGGCGAAACGACCGTAAACTCAAAGAAGCGGGGTCGGGGACAGTTTCATACAAATTACTTCACTTCAAGCCTCGAGTTGGTGCCTTTATTTACGGGAATGCAGTAAAGGTCTCTTCGTCAAGGCCAGACGTCCAATCTTTTCATGAGACGAAAAAACAAATGACCGTTTAGGTCACCGTCGAACATAACTTTATAGCGTCGATGAACTAAATTCAAGAGAAAACAATGATACGAAACAGTTTTCAAACAGTCTAATGACGATACAAATTTTTAATTTATCTTTTGACTTCGTCTCATAAGTAGATCGACGTTTGTCCCCGAGACGATCTTTACACGTTCTATCCGTCTGAAGCGGACGGGTAGAACGTGTTTGTCCATTCAAAGTCACTCAGACGAACTTAACTGAGACAAAAAGTCATGAAGTTAACTCACTCAGTTTGGTTCGTCGCATGAAAAGAATTCGAACGTTTGGGCAACAAAAACGCCCTTGTTTTGAATTGAAAAACGAGCTGAATAGCGACCACGAATCAAACCTGTCTTGCAGCAAATCGGGATGTTGCAGGTTGCGAAAAATTGTTGTAGAAAGTAAAAAGAGTTCTATTTTTGGCAACAAAATCTTTCGCGTTTTACCGACATAAAGAAAACTTGTTTTACATTACAGTGACGCGACTCCCGCGTAATTTTATCCAATCAGTAGTCAGTATTCACGCCACTTGCAAGAACCTGATTAGCTGCAAGGCAGATCTAAACTTGGGGTTGGTAGAACGTAGCCTGCGAACAGCAGACGCATTTCCGGTCGTGAGAAGCGACGACCGGAAATGCGTCTGCTGTTCGCAGGCTACGTGGAACGCAGAACATTGCTATTGATCACTCCAGAAAATACCATAACATACCATAATGCTCTTTGTTTGTCGCCCCAAAATTTTGCATAAGCTTTGTCTTCAGTTTCTCTTGGGAGTTAAAATGGCCCCAAGAGAAACTGAAAACAATGCTTATGCAAAATTTTGGGGTGACAAACAAAGAGCATTATGGTATGTTATGGTATTTTCTGGAGTGGTCAATTCAACTCTTTTCGAAGCAAATGTTGCAAAACAAGTAGCAACTTTTGGTGCCCACAAGAGCTTGAAGAACATAAAAACTTCACTTACCACCGGCGACTTGTCTTTGTCTTTGTGTTTCTTGTGTTTTGAACGCTTGTGTTTGTGTTTTGAGCCACTATGTTTCTTGTGTTTCTTATGCTTTTTCTTCTTCTCTCCTTTAGCTTCCTTCTCTTCTGATTTTTCAGGCTCCTCTCCCGAGCTTTCCTGCTAAAAGTAACAACAAAATTACTATACTGTACACTGGCGACTGCCCCACATTATAAGGCCCCCCCTCCTTCCTACTTGTAAACAAAAAAAATACATCCGATCATAAGCCCCACCGGATATGAGCCTCCCTTGGTTACTGTTCCAAACGCATTGAAATGCATTCGATTTATTCAAAAGTTTTGAACTAAAAACCAGTAAATGCAAAACTGGCAGTAAACCTAAACCGTTCTAAACCTCTTATTTCACTGGTCCCCTTTAATCTACACCTCCATTGTTTTCAGGGATAGAGGCATTGTTATGTGACAATCCCTATTGTTTTCCCAGCTAATAAAAAACAATCTTTCAAATAGGTGCGGGATCGCCCAAAACTGGACGGCAGAGCGCGAGGTCACGGGTTCGACCCCCGGTGGGGGTTCTGTCTTCCGGAAGGAAACGCAACTAGAGTATCCTCAATTATAACTTTCGTGCTAAACACATGGACACTTTGCAGTGCGAGTTCTGTAAACGGGGCCACCAAGACAAAGTTGACCAATCAGATTACGGGAAAATAACAATGCATTCCGAGAACGCTGGTTGTGGGCCAATCAGCTGCTCGTAAAAAAACAATAACTTAATTGAAGCGCAAATTTTAAATATTGATGGCAAACGCTTCCAATAAACTAAAAATGCAGGATGTCTTTTAGCATGTGCAACGCTCTCAGATTGCAGAGAGGTCACGAAAACAAGTCACGTGAAAATACGTGTGCGTATTTTCACGATCTCTGCACATTAGTAGAGACCTTAAGATTTGAGGACCAGAACGACTACGAGTACGAGATTTGACTTAAAGTTTTCTCGCGTATTCTCAAAATATACACGCCCCGAAAAGCTTTATTTTACCATTTTTCACTGTAAAAGTTAGTACTGTTATCTTTAGTGAAGCAGGTTACTCCCTCTCCAGATCGCAAAGTGATGAAACTTCTAACATTTGATAACTTGTTCCCGCCACATCGACATTCTCCCTAAAACTCGTAGTAGAATGACGACGGATACCACGTTTTCCCGCCAAAATGACACTGGTTCACGTACGAGCGCTACCTAGTACTGAGAGAATCTCGCACTCGTTGTAGAATCTAAAGGTCTCTACTACGTTGGAACCTGGAACAGGCTTCAATCATTACCTTTGCAGGAGGTGATTTACTAGGGGACGTCTTAGGCACCTCCTCTTCTTCTTTCACGGAAGGACTTTTGCGGGCCTTTCTGACAGGGGGCTCTGGAGAATGATCTCCATCCGAGGCCCTCTCGGCCGCTGCCTTTCGTTTCACCCGCTCGCGTGGTGGAGATGCCGAAGGGCTTTTCTTAGCCGATCGAGCCTGTTGCCGAGGTTCGGGTGAAACAGACGGCTTAGGAGATTGCTTAGCAGCGTGAGACTTTGATTTTTCTTGCTGTTCCGGGGAAGAAGAACGGGAACGTCTTGAGCCACGTGCGCGGGCAGCCTTGGACGGTGGGGGTGAAGCTGAGGCAGATCGTTTAGTACGTGACTTGGTTTTACGAGCAGGAGAATCTGACCTAGCTGGCGCTGATTTTCGACTTTTAGGCCTGAGAAAGCAACAAGATTATGTCACATGTGAACCATAGTATATGACCCATGAGTTCAACTACAGCTCAGTGATTATAGCACCCGGGGATACTCTGTTAGAAAAACAGCGCGGATGCCCGTCGGAAAATCCCAAAACAACTCTAGGGGGTACCAAAAATTGGGTCAATTTAGGTTTCTGGGAAACTGACCACCTACCCATCCCCTACGCCAACATTTTGCCCTAAGTGAGAAGTAAGTGATAATGTTCGCTTAGTGGAGGGGTAGGTGGGCAGTTTCCAAGAAACCTTAATTGATCCCAAAAATTAATTAAGTACCACGTGACTCCCATCCTCTCCTACGCAGCCGTCACGCAAGGCATAAGAGACCTTTAGATTCGAGGACGACAACGACTTCGAGTACGAGATTTGATTAAAAAAGTTTTTTCGCGTATTGTCACCCCGGAATTCTTCATTGTATTTCCCCCCCCCCCGGAAAAGTTAGCACTGTTATCTTTATTGGAGAAGGTTAAACCCTTTATTGATCACAAAATAATAAAACTTCTAACATTTGATAACCTGTTTACGCCACTACGAGATTCTCGCTAAAACCCGCAGAAGAGAGACGACGGCTATCACGTTTTCCTGTCAAAAATGACGCTGCTTCGCACGCGCACACTACTTAATATTGAGAAAATCTCGTCCTCGAAGTCGTACTCGTCTTTGAATCTTATGGTCTCTAATGAAAAGCTGCTTAGGACTATTCATTTTTCGGCTCAACACCCTAACAGGTCCCTAAAAGGTACCGGAAAAGCACTTAAGGGCTTTCAATAAGATAAAAGCAACCAAAGAGGTACCAAGATTATCATTATATCGTTAAGGCGGGTGACACGTTTTCGCCAGCTTAGTTAAAACTGACGGTATGACTACTATAGAGCACGTCAAAGAAGGTACAATCTTGGACTAAATAAATGGATAATCTAGACCCCCTCCCCCTAAAATCAAAGATGGGAAATGGCGCGGTTTGTCGTTCGTGTGGCTTCATCCTTGATTTGGGGGGAGGGGGTGGGGAGGGGGTGCTGTTCCATTTTATTCTGTTCAAGATTGTAGCTCCATTTAATCTAATAATCAACATCTAACTAACAAACAAGACGAAGAACTGAGCAAATCGGTCTTATTTCTCAGATAAATACCGAGACCGAGACTTAGTCAAAACGCCTTCAATCCCCAACCACACAAATTAACCCTGTTAGGGCGGCCAATCAACAATTTGGAATGAAATAATGCTTATGTTGATGAAGTTTAGATGGTTCACTCAACGACCGTAATTTTCAGCTTGAGTTAAAAAGCATGGCTCACCTTTCAGGTGACACGGAGGCTGACTTATGTTCCATCCGTTTGCGTCCCCGAGTTTGTCGCTCAGGAGACGCTGACTGTGACCGTCTCTTTGCCGCTTTCTTCCCTTCGGAAGATTCTCGAGCCTCGCGTGGCTTCTTTTTCTCGGGTTCGGGTTCAGGAGATACGGATGAAGATGATGATCGTCTAGTTTGTTGCGCCTTTGATTTGTCCGCAGCCTGTGGCTTCTGCGGGGGCTCTGGTGAGGCAGATGATGATCGTGATCGTGACCGTTCAGACCGCTTCCTTCTCCGAGCGTCCTTTTCCGGCTCGGGTGAACGGCGACGATCTCTCTGTCCTCTGTCAGCAGAACGCGACAGTGGGGACGATTCCGACCGACGTGGAGACGAGCTCGATCGACGCCGTCTTCGAGGAGGTGGAGGGGGTGGGGGTGACATTCGTTCCTTTCGTCTCTCCCTGCTGCGTGGAGGGGAGGGGTCCGGGCGTCGGCGCCTTTCTCTGGGGGAAGGAGAAGGGGAGTAATCAGACCTTCTCCTTCGACGGGGTGGTGAGGCAGAACGTTTTTCCTGAGGACGTCTTCGCGGAGGTGACGCTGAGCGAGAATTTTCTCTTCGCTTTCTTCGTGCAGCGGGTGAACGCGAGTCTTGCATCCTCTTTCTTCTGGGAGAGGGGGGAGATTCTCGTCGTTTTCTTATCGGGGAGGGTGAGGACTCTTTGCGTTTCCTTCTCCTGTCCCGTGGAGACTCACTTCGCTCTCGCTCCTTCCTGCGATCCTTTGAAGAATCTACTTTTTTCTTTCTTTCAGGCGACCACTCCTCTTCAGACGAGGACGGCGACGGTGAATGTTTGCGGTAGCGACGGCTGGTTGTTTTCTTGGATTTGGGCAAAAGCGGTGACTCTTCCTTTTCCTCTTTCTCTTTCTTCTCCTCTTTCTCTTCTTTACCAGGCGGAGGGGCAGGTGAGGGTGATGGTGATGACGATGAAGGTGAAGGTTGTTTGACTGGTGATTGCTGTTGTTCTTTTTTCTTGTAAGTTGACCTGTGATGTGTTGGCGGTGGAACAGGAGACTCGGCAGACGCCTTTTCTTTCTCCGGACTCGCTGATTTCTCCTTTTCTTTTTCTTTTTCCTCTTCTTTTTCTTTCTCTTTCTCAACTTCTTTTTCCTTCTTGTCTTTCCCTTTCTCTTTTTTCTCTTTTCGCGATGTTTCGGCAGCAGGAGATCCTGAACGCGAGCGTGAGGAACGTGAGCTGAAACTCACAGAGCGTGACCGTGAACGTGACGAGGCTGAATTGGACCGTGAACGCCGTCGAGGAGATGAGGAACGACGTGACCTACGACGTGGAGAACGAGAGCGAGATCTGCAAACACAATATATCAGTTTCAGTTAATAGCATTACGTACTGTCCGTGGTTTGAGGACTTCCACGGGTATTAATTCAATAACAACAAAGGAAAGCCACGGTTTCACATAACGCACTTACTGCGTCAAGGAGCAAAAATGTTGATAGGCACCGCTCCCACCAGCAACATGACATTATTGCTGTTATTTTTACAAAACAACTGACCTATTTTACGTTGTTCTTACGCTATTGCTGTCATTATTAAACAAAACTATAAGTTCGACGGTTGATTCAGACGTCGACCTTCATTTGTCGGAATCAATTCATTTTCACTATGCACAATGGTCTACAATGCTTACAAGTGAAAATATATCAGAGTAATGTATGCATTAGGTCAAACGTCAGTTGGGTTTTGAACGTCAGAATTCGCGTGTTTTTGAAAAGCGCAGTAAAAGGGTAGAGCAAATAGAGTATCAGTAAAGCTCTGCTCACAGAGGAGAAAATAAAAAATTCATCTGTGTGAACTGGAATAGAGCTTAACTATTATGCATTTGTTGGAGAGATAAAAGACTTAGTAACACCATCTCGTATATTTTTTGAGCACCTAAAAAAAGTGCCTTGTCCGTTTTCTTGCCTTCTTTTCTAGAGTATTGTACCACATAACTGAAAGTTTTTTGGATTACTAAACTAACTATCCAGAGACTCGATTGACTCTGACCAACAAGAGGGCGTGCTACGAATCATTAGATTTTAACTACTTTACCTGCGTCGCGGAGGTGATCTTCGTCTGGGTGGAACCCATCTTGGTGATGGTGACCTGCGTCGCCTGTACGGAGACCATCGTTGCGTTCTGCTGTAAGAAGAAACGCGTCGGGGCGAACGAGATCGAGAGCGTCTTCTTCGCTCACGACTGCGCGACCTCGATTTGGAGTGAGACCGAGATCGTGATCGGGAAGCAGAGGACTTAGAACTACTGCGCCTGCGTCCTTTCTTGTCACGTGATCGCTTTCTTTCCCTTCCACCAGATCGTGACCTTGATCTTGAGCGGGAGCTGGAACGATCCCTTCTAGAATTCAACAACGGAGATAATAATCGTCAGCATGTTTTCAAGTAATTAGCAAATACTTAAAACCAAAACGTTAGGCAGAAGCAGAAAACAATTATAGAAACTTACTTGGCATCTTTTTCCTTGGCATTTTCTGCAACAAAAAATACATTTGAGCTTTATAGACAATTTAGGGTAGAAATAAACATTAAATATTCAGCTGGCCCGGACAGTCCTTGGTTTAAGCACAGCGAGCTATCGTTAATAGTTTGAAAAATCGATTTTCTATCTTCTCCCAGCTTAAAAATACATTGTTTGTAAGAAAAATTCTAAATTACCTTAAAAATAGGACCGAAATAGAAAGCGGATTAAACAATACGATACTGGCAGAACAAAGTGCATTTTGCCGTTTTCAAGCTCAAAAATATTACTGAACATAATACCAATTTCTAAAACAAGGGTAAAGGATTATTCGAGCCTCAGTGCCGGTACCTACAAGGTTTATCCCTGGAGAAGAGTGAAGATCCTGTTACAGAATGCTTGCTCATCATCAGTTAACCCCCAGTACATTATAAAATTATGTTACCAGTGCTAGGAGGGGTAGTGTGAAGCAAAGAAAGCGACAAAAGGTTCCACAAATGCCCATCATGCCATGTTAAAGGTTGAATAAACTATCCAACATACAGATCGTTGTTGCACGAAAATAGAGATAGTAAGCTCCTTTCCGTTCAACAAGTACAAATACAACTTGTTCAACAAAGAGAGCTACGACAGTTGTTGTTGTTAAAAAAAAAAATGTTGAACTGTGCGTAAGAGGGCTTGGAAACAATGCGAGCACGCCAAGTTCTCGAATCAGCTCCTCCATATTTTAATTTATGAACCAAAGAACTTGCAATTTTGGAGAACTGATTGACTACAGAGGATGTTTTTTGGTGCAATTCGTTTGTTCAGCAGAACTAATAACTCTGAACAAACCACATACAAGTGTAAAAAAAGAGGGAAACCATGTCTAAATGTTCACAGATAAAGGCCCAAATTAATTCAGCAAGTCTATGAAGGAGTGATTTGTCATAAACAAGTAACTTCGAGGGCATTTCTTACGTAGAAAATTACGTTTCAAACAGACATATAAATTCATGCTCCCTTGCTTGAAAACAACTACATTTTATTAAAACGTACCTTTCTTCGCTTTTTCCGTTTCTTCAATCTCCTTTTCCTGACGAAGGAAAAAAAGGTTATTTTTAACATATATCTAAGTCAGTATATTGTAGTAGATCTGTTGGAGTGCAATAGGAGTTCTTGCACAGCAAACAGACCAACTGATCAAACAAAGTTGTTGACGAACGTGGACAGTGCATTCAAAAGCAGTGGCCCTATCTTAGACCCACTACTTGCAGTTAAGCAAGTTGTTATAACTTTAAATACAATACCACAACAAACACAAATGACCAGGGCGAATTACTAGCCTTTTTATTTTCCTTTTTTAAAAAACTAAACGCCTAGAATTCTGTGAATATTCAAGTGTACAAAGCAACCACTTATTGTAACAAGCAAGAGTTATTACTTAAGTTCCCCATTCTAAATCAACACTTAAACATAAAATCCAGCCTTAAAATAATGCAGCTGTTAAAGTTCAAAGTTTTACCCTACATGGTACTCATATTATTAATTTTACAGAAACTTCTGTGTTCCTGTTGTTAAGGTATCCAAACTATGACATGAAAGAGCTTTTCTGCTTGAGTATGCAGCACTCATTGCAGAGATGAAACATGACATTGCAACACAATGAGATATTGGTGCTCCATAAAATTAAAAAAGTATCAGCAATTAAAAAAATCAGTTTAGCAAGTTTAACTGCCAAGCAAATGGGTTTGGTTTATGAGCAACAGAAGAAGAAGCTTTTTTTAATGTTACCCAGCACCCAAAAGATGAGTAATAGCAACAGAAGCTAAGTATTGATCGTCAGAGATGGTAGACATTTAGACCACACCACCGGGGTCTACATCCACCAACCTTTTGGAACAGTGGTGTGGGTTCTTTTATGTCCCACAAAAACCAGAGAAGTGTAAGTGCTGTGAGATGCGACCTATGGTTTTTCATCCTTATCTAAAAACTCTAATCATTTGCAGAAGCAATTACAAAGGCAACACTTTCTTTTCACTTTTAAAGACCCTGAGTCCTGGTCTGGCCAGGGTTTGAACCCGCAACTGCCCACTCAGTAGACCGGCACTCTCCCAACTGAGCTAACCAGGAGGTGGTTAAAGTAGGTACAATGGTAACTGACTGAAAGGCACATATGAACCTGGTACCTCATCGCCTACTGCTTCTAACAAGTTTCTCTGTTGTTCAATGACTCTAGCGGCACCAGTACCCATTATACACAGAGGTAGAGAAAGACAATGTCGAGGAAAGTTTTTTGTCTTGTCTAAGGAAATAATGCAACAACAAGGTTCAAACACCGGCTGCCAGATCTTAAGTTCAAGGTATTAACCGCTCAGCCACCATGCTATCAACAGCTGTCTACAGCTTGCTGGATTTGAGAAACTCAAATGTCTCAGATTGTTCCATGGATAAATAGCTACAAAATGAGCTATAGTTAAGGGGTATAAACCCATTATACATTTAATTGTTAAAGGTTCTGCTCTGGAAATTTTAAATGCCATCACCTCAAACACATTACTCCCTTCAAGATATCATCTAAACACGAAAGATGAACATCTCAAACCCTTACAAGAGGTGTATTACACTTTGAGAGTGGGTTGGTTTTGTCAATTCTGTTTTGACTGTCTCTGAAAGTTCAGTAGGGGTGGCAGGCACGGATCCACACTGGTTTCCACCGTTTTACGGAAATCGGCCAGATTTTTCTTTAATAGATATATTTTTAATAAATAAAAAACTTTCCAAGTTGCAAGGCTTTATCCAAGGTGAATGGAACTGGCCAATATCCTATCTGAGTGACTCGGAACCCCGAGAAAGGAGACTTTAGGGAGTTAAAATCTAAAACATTTACCGGCGGAGCTTGCCCCTGGACCCCCAAGAAGCTTGCGTTTTCGGCGCTCGTTGAGGAAATGGGTCAGCATTTATCCTAGATCCGCGCCTGAACCGATTAGCAGAAAGAAGCAGGATCCAAGGTGCAGATACACAAAACAGAATGATAAAGAAAAATTATTAGAAAAAAGCCTGATGCAAAGTGCAGAGGGAGGAACCTGTTATTTGCATACACCAATAAGCAAGATGTATTACACTTTAAGAGTGGGTTGTTTTTGTCAATTGTATTTTGACTGTCTCTGAAAGTTCAGTAGGGGAAGGATTAGCAGAAACAAGCAGAATCCAAGGTGCAGATACACATAACAGAATGATAGAGAAAAATAATTAGAAAAAAGCCTGATGCAAAGTCCAGAGGGAGGAAGCTGTTATTTGCATACACCAATAAGCAAGATTAAAAACCTGCAATAGAAAACATTCATCCTGAGTTGACAAGTTTAGCTTCATGGATTCAAAGTTCAATCAAGGGAAGATAAAAGTATACCTTGAGAAGCTTCTTATGAGGGACAGGGTTGCCTTCATCTGCATCAGTTTTGAGAAGTTCTTTGACCAAACGGGAGATTGATTTTGCCAGCTTCTCATCTCCTGCTTCCACTAGATGCAAGTGATCTGTGAAGTAAAGCGATTCATCGAGCTTCCCACCCTTTCTAGTCCATCCCGTCCCGGGTGCCAGAAAATAAACATACTCATCACGTAGCTCTTCAGAATAGCTAATATACTCAAACAGCTCGTCATTGAGCTCATCAATGTTATCCCGCCTTATGGTAGGATATAAGTCCCTGGGAAGAATTCCACAGACGACAATGCTGACATTTGGCTTTTTCTTGCGAATATAATCAACTATAGCCAATATTCCCTGAGCTATTTCCCCTGTGTTGTTCTTGTCCAAATTGTTCGTGCCACATAGGACAACAACTACTTTAGGATCGCACTCCATCTCTCCATTCTGAAGTCGCCACAAAACATGCTGTGTTCTGTCACCACCGATGCCAAAGTTGAGTGACTTAAGAGGCTGAAAATACTTCCTCCAAATTCTGGGATAACGACTAAGACCCTTGATAATGGAATCTCCAGTTAAGACGACATCTATGTCTGGTGTTTTTGTAAGTGCAACATTCTGTTCATGTTCAGCATCCCAACCTGGCTTGTCCCTCTCAGCTGGTCGCGCAGCGGAGGATAGCAGTCGTGATCGCCATTTGTCTTGAAGAAACTTGCTTCTAGTTTTTTCATCAGCATCTTTCTCCTTTTTTACTCTCATCAGTGATGGGGAATCAGACTTTTCATCTTTATCCTCAGCATTTCTGCGCGATTCTTTCTTTCTCTTTGATTGCTTCTCATCCTCATCATCACTCTCATCACTGTCCGAGTGATCAGAGTTTCGCCGTGACTTCTTGTAGTCTCTTTTAGGACTGTCCTGAGGTGTCTAGAATAAACACATGGTAACAAAAATTAAATTTAACAAACTAATAATACAGGAGGAATAAAATCATTAGCTGTGTGTATTCCTGAGTACAGTCGAACCTTTTGGTGTGGACACCTCTCTATTACCGACAGTTTCCAATGTCCCAACAAAATTCTCACATAATTATTTTCTTTAAAAAAAAAACCTCTATAATACAAACTCTCTTTGTACTCTGAATTAATAACTTTAAATGCAGTTGAAAGATGAGTGTGAGCCTGGTTTTAGCCAATGAAAACTCAAAACTGTAAGTGGAGTCATAAAAGTGACGTCATCATAGTGACCTCTTTTATACGGACACCTCTCTAATACGGACACTTCGCTCTGTCCCTTTGGTGTCCTTATTAGAGAGGTTCGACTGTACGTCAAAATGACTTCAAAATAAAATAACGTAGGTGACAGTGATCCCAGACAATTCAACAACCTTTTTGAAAGTCATCATTAGAATCAAAGTAAATTGCATATTGTCAGTTGGTAGCTTTTAACTCTCTTTGTTGACATGATTGGTCAATTGCACTGTAATAACTTGGCTGTCTAATAGTTTCAAGAGCTGTGATGGTATTGTAAAATCTAAACTTGTACTGTTGATAAAATAACTTTGATGGTTTTGCTCAATTAGTCCATTGTTTGTCCAAAATATTGGTAAGGTACCAGTAACTGCTTCAGGTCGGAAGCACAAGCTTTCAACAGCAAGTCATCTGAGTGTCTAACAGAAGCAATGAGGTCAGCAATCACATTGGTGAATACCATTTACACCATCTGATCTCATCACAGTGTGCAAAGAAAGTTGTGTCCAATGGGTTATTCCAGAAAAAATCCACATCCCCACGACCGAAGGCATATTGGAAAATCTCACGGGAGGGGGGTTAACGGCTCTGGAAATCCAGACGGATGGGGCGCTTTGAACCTAAAAATACATCCTTGGGGGTAACTTTCAATTATTTCATCGACGTTTCAATCGCTTTAATCGACAAGTTTTCAAATAATTGCTTTACCCTTTCAAATTTTATTATTCTTTCAAATTATGGACCTCTTAACGCGTTTATTTTAAGTTTCCATAGGCTCGCCCTCGTTTATACTTTAGTAGAAGCGATGTGTGATAACTTGAAGATATCAAGAAAAATTGCATAATTCCTAAAAAAGCGCTCAGTTCAAGTAAAGCAAACAATGATTTTACCTTGAATTAAACATTTTTCCAGGGTCAATGCTATTTGAGGGTGATTTACCACTAAAAACGTCTTACAAGTAAGCGTGGTTGTTCATGATCTTTCGGCGGCCATTTTGAAAGGTGAGTGTAGTGGCAAGTTGTATAGCATATCATGTAATATCCCCTAAAGTGTCCTTTTTCTTTCGTTCGCAGTCATTTTTTATCAACAAAGAAGAGAACCATTTATTCGAGAGCATAGTTAGTTATGAGCTTTATTGTAGTATATATTGCTGTATATTTTGCCTGTTCTAGAAAAAAAGAGAAGTTAACTCAAATATGAGCTTATTTGCAAAAAGTGTAAGCCTGTTTAAGAAGATGTGAAAATGGAATCTTAACTTTCACAACAAACTCAGAATTCACGGAAAATTGAGACTTGTTTAATAAAAAGATCACCTAAGTGCCTGAAGGATTCTTCTACATTGAGTGTAAATTAAAATTACAGTGTCTAACAATTTTATGGAAATCCAGATGGGTGGGGGGGTCTTTGAACTTGGAAATCCTGAGGGGAGGGGGGCTCAAGCAGTTTTGGAAAACCAGGTGGAAGGGGGGGTCAAAAAACCATGCCTTCCGTCGTGGGGGTGTGGATTTTTTCTGGAATAACCCAATAGCAACGGGACAGGTGGATTTTGCTATCGGGTCAGTGAATTCTGTCTGCAACTTGCCCGACAGGAGAGTGAATTCTTTAACCCATTCGCCCCTGAACCGCCCGTAACCGCCCGTGCGGATCCAGGTCCTTTCTACCCTTTGTGACGTCATCAGTTTTAACGGTCAAGGACAACTTTCTTCGCTAACTTGTGCAGAGTGAAGAGATCTTTCAAACCATACCAGAATGAGCACAATTCAGTCAAGGACACCAGAGAAAGAAGCAAAAAACCACGTGACAAGGACCTGAAAATCTCCATGAAAATCTTGTTCCATTACCCACCTACCTTTTCTTTCTCCTAATCCTAACATCCTAAAAGCTTTCCTAAAAACTCTTCCCACCAAAATGAAGCCTACTAAATGCCCAGCAAGAGAAAAAAAAAATGAGGCAAGAAAAGCAAAAAAAGAAGGGAGGAGAGAAAGCGAAAAGTAAAAGTCAAGACTGTTGTGTCACTTTTAAACCCAAAAACTATGTCGAAATTTTGCTTTCTGCCCATGCCCGAACTTCGCAAGCTGATATTTTGCATCTGGATCAGAAGGCCGCCAAGTGTACGACCTGTAAACCGGTTTGTGGTAAGTTTTAGCTCTTTATAGCACGACAGTGACCAGAAAACCACTCGACTAGCTTCAAAACGCGTTTTTCGGCAAAATCCCCAGGAGCAAATGGGTTAATCAAATTCACCTTAAAGAAGGACAGTAATCAATCCTGCTCATCCAAAATTTTTTGGAGGGTAACTTAAATGACTCTTGGGCTAGGCCATGCTAGCTAGAGCTTGCCCAAATGGAACGCTGTAAAACTGACTTTCTTTGCACATTGCATCAACATATAATATCACAAATACAAGTTCAGTCATACTAACATTATCAACAAGAGTGAGAATTTTACCAATATTCTATACATAATCAAACTCTTTGTGATTTAACTGTATAATCATCCAAACAATGGGGAGCAGACAAGCAAACATAATTCTGACTATTAAATTACCACCATTCATAGACGTAACTAAAACATGCACTGGGTATGCTTACCTTAATGATTTTAGTATTTCATTTCTCTATCCCAGAGTAAGATAGAAGCCTTGTTTACTTGGAATGTTAGGTAAAAAAAATATGCCTTCTGTAAGAAAAGCACCTTCTAGCCTTCCAGTCTACATCTTCTTATTATTATGATGCCTACTATTCTTGCATTTTTACATGTCACAATCTTGTTCTTGGTGAGTAAGAAATATGGCCCTACTGATGTAGGACATTCGTCAATAATGTCAACTACAGTTTTAATACACAGTCCAAATTAAGCGTAAGTCTGAGATTTGACTCTACTACACTGAAAGCATGTTAACAAATCAAACCAGACATTTCGAAATCTCACCATCTATTACTGGTGAGTGCAGTGTAATATTCACTTTATTCACAAGTTTGCTGGGTAGATGCAATAAGCAGGTGGGAGAATTGAACTGTCAGAAGGTCCTTTGCCTTTTATGGTCCCTTTAATAGTTTTGGTTGAAATTAGCTGGGGTCATGCTTATGGTAGCCAGGAAAATCCCTGGTCAATGGCCCCCCATTCCCTCGCCCCCCCAGAAAGGGTGACTGGAACCTTGTATGTGCTCATTGCACAAAAGGAGAATTTGCTATTTGATCAGAATATCATTTAAGCCTTATTCTAGGCCTCCAATAAATATATATCAGAGTTCTTGACAGGGTGCAGGAAAAAAAATTAAAATTGTGATTGATTTGGGGGGTAATAAATTGTATGGGAAAAACAAGAATTGTGCATGTTTGCTCTACATTCACCAAAAACAAAATAGGTTTAAGGAGTACATAACTAGTCTCAGTGTAATATTAAGCATGCTTTTGGAAAAGATGCAATTACTGGCTTTCTTTACCATGGCAATTAAATATTTGTTTTTAAAAATATTTCTTTCACACATCAATAATTACTTCATAACCTATGGTGTTTGTATCAGTGTGAAGTTTTTTCACTGGGGATTACACTTGATATACATGAACATTTTGATTTACAAAGCTTGTTGTTTCTTTGCTTAAGTTGAAATGTGGAACCTAAACAATGTATCTAACATATAATAGTTCTTAGTGCTTGACTTTCAGCCTTTGCATTCCCAGAAAACAAAAATGCTTCAGGAAACCATCTGACAAAGCATTGCAAACAATTCCAATGTACATGTAAGTACATTATACATGTCGTTTATTGAATCTACATAACCAACTGATACCCAGGATCAAACAGAGTTACAAAGAAAGCCTTGTAGTTCAATGCTTTTTACCACTGCTTGAGGAAGTTGTTCAACCAAAAAAAAAAACAAAGGTGTTTTTGGAAATGAATGACATGAAAAGAGTTTAAAGGGTACCAAACATCTTTTTGTTATGAACTGTAAAACTAAGCACCTTACTCAGTGTTGTGTGCGCTGTGAATTGTGTTAATTTTGAGAGATTGAGAGGAGTTGGTCAAATTGTGCAGTCCCACACCCATACACCCCGTCAAAAATCTGTCCTTTTTCTTTCCCAGATAGATAAATATAGGCCTGTACTATTCCCACACATTCTAAACTAAAACAACCGAAACCAAATACTACTCACTTCTTTTCCTGCCAGAGATCGTGCCACTTCCTTGGCTTTCCTTATTTCTTCATTGATGTCATCTGTGGGCCCACCTGACCCATTCTCATTGGCCACATTATCATCAGCAGCAGTACTGTCTGGTTCTGTTTGCTGTTGATCTCCTTGATACCTTTGTAAGCTTGCTTGAAGTCGTTCCTGTTCCAGCTTAGGAATTATACAACAGGAAAATGTAACTGTTAGTTCATTTGTTCAATTTAGAGCTAAATTCTCACTTATAGCTTTTTAAATACTTTTACACCAAAATGATTGCGGGCGACAAGAGGAGCCCACAATCCTAATCTTCAGGTTGTTATTATGCATACGTTGCAAGTATGTAGCCAGCATTTGTTTGGACTTCCACTAAGAATATGAAATGCACAGAATGCACCTTGATCATGCTCATTTGGACCTTCTGTCACTAATAATATCATCACACATGTTTTGACAATCAGTCAAGTTAAACTTTACACAAAGCACAGTGCTGGACTAAAAGCATTTTGACCTTCAATCGTTGTTGCCTGCACTCTGTAACCTTTGGTTATTACTAGGCATATCTGTGGCAAAATTTGTTGGCTACGATTGGGGATGCTAACTTCTTTATTGCTTTGAACAGCATAAACAAAAAATCATAGCAACCAATTAAAAGGGCTTATGTCATGAGGCTATAACTGTTTTAGGTCAATATTCTGTGCTGAAGTTGTTAGTGATGTTTCTTCTTTGTGGAGGAGATCTTTGATCACCTGCTAGGCAACGAAAAAGACTGATCAAGTTTCACCGATGGGACAAATTATGGTATTCATTATTTGACTGGCCAGAATCGGGGTTTGTCCGCGGCAAAAAATATTTGACTGATCAAATGATCGGCTACCTGCTGTCTGTTATTTTCAGCCCTAGGGCACTAACCATGATAATTTCAACCATGATAATTTTTTTGATGTCACCTGGTGGGGAAACCTGTGGGGGCATCACAAAACATTGACTGCTTTCTCATGCTAATAAATCAGTTACATGAATTTATTTTTCAATTTTACACCAACCTTTCTCTGCTTGATCTCTTCTTTCTTTTTCTCTAGTAGAGATGATGGTATGCCTCCAATGTTCTCCTGAGCACTTAGAAGAAGGGTCCATAACTCTTTCATAAATTCTCGTGCATTCTTAGCTTGCAGAAAACCAGTTATATTGATTTGCATAAACTTGGGATCAGGACTCTGAAATGAAAAATTGTTTTAAAAAAATAACTTTTGATTGTTGTATTTATTTGTTTTCCCACAAAGCCCTTGGGAATTCTTAAGAACTTGTTCAAAGGTGACTGTGCCTTCCAGATTGAATAGGAATCGGAACTTTTGGTTTTTTAGGTGAGCGGAAAACCAGAGAGCCTGCGGAAAGGAGAGAACAAACCACAAACTAAACCAACAAATGGTGTTGCCAGGATTTGAACCCAGGCCAAATTGGTGGAAGGTGAATGCTTTCACGACTGTGCCACCCTTCTCCCAAAAATAATGTAAAGAGAGTTAAAATATTTGAACTGACACTAATCCTTGTGTAAATAAGGCAAGTTAACCTGTGGTAAACACCAGCACAGGCCAACAAACACAAGGCTTTCACACACTTTCATTAAGAGGTGGGGGCACTGACAGAGGATTCACCTATGATTAGAATAAATTTAAAAGAGCAAAACATGATAATTTTTCTTTTGGTCTGTAGTGGCTACAGCTTGTTCTTACCTTTTCAGATTCCAGCATGTTTAAAACATACTGCATAACGACATCATCCTCAAATCCAAGAATTTCAATGAGTTTCTTTGTTATCCATGGTTTTACAACATCCAAGTTAACCTTCTCCATGTCCACCTAATGCAAAAATTAAAAGGACAGATTAGACTGCTGTTTATCAACAATTGTTTTACACCAGTTGTACAAAATTATCTTAAGGTAAAACAAATTCAACAACAAGTCTGTAGTATCTACATTATTTTATCTTAATAATGTAGTTTGCAATCTGCTCAATTCTGAAACATGGATTGAGTGAGCCATACACAGTTATATCTCTTGCCCTTAATATGTTAAATTAAAACTGATGTGTAAGCAAGGCAAGCATTTCCTCTCTTTCCCTTTTGCTCCCCAACTTTCACGCAATAACTTGTTTGGAAATACTTGCAAAGCAGGCTATCTAACTTTTAAAGTTAAATATTTTTCTGCCTTGTTTTTCATAAACTCATCATGACTAAAAAGCTACTATGACGCTTCTGTTACTGTCCTTATAATATGGCCCTGTTTTCTGTACATGATATCAGACATTACATTCAATTTTAAACGCCATTAAAAGTTCAATGTCTTAATCCATTTTGATGGAACGGCTGAACGAAATGAGCATTTTTCTCCCTTTGAAGTTAATTCGGCTAGAACTAAGATCGGCGTCTGAATTAATTCAGCGGATTAAAATAATTTGGGTCGGTCTTAATTCGAATTAGGCTAGGTTCGTGAAAAGCTGATGTCTAAACCGGGCCTGAACTGCAACGACTTCGAAGAACTGTGAGAGAAAAATTTCCATCTCCAAAAGTCAGCCGCGAATGTCTGAACTTACACGTGTAATAAAGGAAAACAACGTATTATTGCAATGTCTTAACCAAATACACTGCCTTGAAGAGATCAGTGAAAGTTTCAGTCAATACGATGCCAGACTGTACTTTTCAGACTGAAGAAAGTATTATAGTCTGTAATTTGATTCAATTAACTTTCACAAGGGCACATGTCTCATGTCGTTGCTATGTCTGACTTATAACCTGGCAAATTAAATACAACACAAGTATGAAAAAACTTGTAGGTTACGCCAGAACAAAAACAAGGTTATAACGCGGAAATCAAAGGAATAGATGAATCATGAGCCAACCTTTTTGTTCAGGACTTCATCAAAACGCATTGATTTCAACAGCTTCTTTTGCTTATCAAGGAACCGGTTGTCTTGTTCCGCACTTGTGCCCTGTGGAGAAAGTTTTTAAGTTGTCAGAAGAAGAAACCTGACTTTAGGAAAAGAGACGATAAATCTAAAACGCGCAGCAAAATTTCTTACCCGAAAGAACCCAGCGTCCGCCATCTTGAAAGCCGCTTGGTCTGGTCACATGGTTCTGCCGTTCTCCAAATTGACAACCAATCAGAAAGCATCATCAGTGTGAGGCTCGCTAACATGTGGAAGGCAAGATGGCGGACGAATTGAGAGAAGGTCTTGAGGAGCGTCTTGCGGGTCATTCAGCTTATTTCAACACTTTGATCGAATTGATACCGGTGAAACATTACTTGCCTGTTGACGAAGAAGAATTAGCAAGTAAATTTTTTAAGAATCGCCAACAGAAAGCTCCGAAACAGGTCATCAAAGAAGCTTCTAGGAAGGCGAAACGATTGAGGCTCGACCCAAATCAACACAAAACAGTTCATGAAATTCAAAAGGAGACTGAGGAAAAAGAAAAATCGAAAAACTTTGGTGATGAAGAGGAAGGCAGTGGTATCGCGAGGACTGGTTTTAGTGTCGAAAAAGTCGAAAGTGGCAATCTGGATGAGTTAAGGTCTCGTCTTCATGCCAGGATTAAAGACTTTCAGAGAAAACGGAAAGCGTTCGACGGAAAAGAAGAGCATAAGAATGCACGGACGAAGAAATCTAAAAGCGAAGTCAAAGTGAAAAATAAACAGAAAATTGCTTCTGTACAAAAGAACGTAAAAAGCCCCAAGAAACAGGACTCATCGCCTGCAAAGACTATATTGAACGACAGCGGTGAAATTGTTTTTAGCAAGTTTGATTTCATGGAAGTAAAGAAAGAACCGAGACATGGGACTAAAGCGAAAAACTACTCGAAACTTCTTGCAAAAGCTGAAGCGCACAAGAAAAAGCTGGAAACGCTTAAGACAGAAGATGCAGAAAAAGCTAAGAAAATGAAGGAGGAGCATTCATGGAAACATGCAATGGAAAAAGCAGAAGGGGTGAAACAATTTGATGATCCTAAATTGTTGAAGAAAGCTATGAAAAAGAGAGAGAAGGAAAAAGCAAGGAGTAAAAAGCAGTGGAAAGATAGGACAGACTATCAAAAGAAACAGACTGAAGAAAAGCAGAAAGTAAGAAAGAAACACATCCAGGAAAGGATTGAAGCAAAAAAGGCAAAGAAAGCTGGCAAAGGAAAGAAAAAGCACAGACCTGGATTTTAGTTACTGTGATATGCATCATACTTACTCATTTATGTTTATTCTTTTGTGAATCAAGGCAATGCTTTGTCTGAAGCTATTAAAATTTACTTGTGAGGAAATGTGAATGCCATTCCTTTTGTTTCATTCCCTTGATTTCTTGGTATGGGTTTGAGTACCAGGTAAATAGCCTCACTTCTAGCTGTCTGAGTTCACTCAGACATCCTTCAAGCTAATCCATCCAGGCCAACCACATGCTGGTGGAGATTGAAGACCACTATACAAGGGCATCCCCTACATTTTTATCAGCAGTGTGTGAGTGGGGTGGGTGGGCAGTGTGTGTTTTTCCAGGCTAGACAATTATTGGCCTCTCTCCTCCATGCCGGCAATGAATGTTGTCTGAATCTACTTCTTGCACCACCCTAAGGTAGGCATACGAAGTAACCTATCACCAATGGTTTTTCTTCATTGCGTTAAAAATTCATATGAGATAAAACACAAAGGATGTTTCATCACCAGAGACCCTGGGGAAGCTAATTGCGATAAAAAAGTCTACAAAAGAGATCACTGCAGTAGAGATCACTGCAGTTTATAATAAACCAAGGAGAGCCCCTAGACTGTAAAATAATGATAAAATTGGTGTTTTTTTTGTTTTGTTTTGTTCAAAATCCATCTTTCAGCGCGCGAGATGCCTTTAATTCCTCCCCCTCCCCGCTTGCTCAAGACCTTTCGTCAGAACTCGTCACGCGCGCGTTCTTGGCCTACGAAAAAAATCAGGCTGTGTTGCAGTCTAGAGAACCCCTAGTGAAGCAGTATTTGTCAATGAACTCCCTGCTTCTGATAGAAGCATGCAATCCAACTGTTTCTGGAACTGCCTGAGCAAGAAGAAGTGCTTTTCCAATTGATCAATGTTTATAGTTCTACATAGATTAAAACACAACAGAAAATGGCACGAAGAGATTCACAGTTTTTCCTCTTTGTAAAAAAATGTCACGCTAACGATTGGAATCTGACATCCTTAGCGTGGAATCCAGCCGGATCCAAGACTGTGTTTTTGTATTTTGTTTAATCCACCTAGATTTGAGGTTAAGTTTACTAATTCGATGGTGACAAGTGAAATTGGGTAATAATTTCATAAATAATTTCCCGAGACCTGTCATTACTATAATATTTTCGCTGGAAAATTACGCCAACAGTGAAGAGCTTTTGCCCGTTAATTCAATTTATCGAGAGCTCCAAGCACAGAAAAGTTTAAAAGTTGGATGAATCTGAATGGACAAATTTTCTGCCACTTAGAACCCTTCTTGCTGTTTACAAGTATGCCCTTTCGCTTTTCTAAAGCTTCTCTGCCTGAAAATTTAAATTACTTCTCATTAATTAGCCCGAGAAAACAGCCGACGGTTTCCAACCACTGAAGGGGTCACGAAATGTCGGTTGTTTTCTCAGGCTACTCATTAATTCGTGTGCCAAAACTAAGGGGTCATTTATCGGCGACGATGTTGTGTTTAACTTACGTGTATGTTTTTTTTCTACCCCAATCGCATTGTACACAAAGAAAGTATACACTTGTCTCGTAAGTTTTAATTGCAATTTACAGCAACAAAATTTTACAACAAATACTTAAACAGATTAGGTACGTAGTTACAGCTACAATATGAACTAACAGTTGTCAACTCCTGCTTGAGTAGTTGTGGTAGGAAAGTTACTAAAAAAGCTGTGATTAAAAAGATATGGTGCTATCTTCGTACACAGAACATAATAAAGCAACCAGATTGTTCAACGGCTATCCTAAGTATGTTTTCGGGGAGTCCTTCGGTTTTCCTATACGATTTGCCGCTATAATTTAATGTTTCTCGGGGCAAGACAATCAGCACGTAATGCCAGTCTAAATCGGGCACAATGATATATTCATTACTTTTACATCAATTTGGACAATCACTTTTTACCAATAAATAATAAATTATCAAGTTAGGAAAGGAAACAAAGAACACTTTTTATACAGTGAAATTTTACAAAAAGTTAAGATAAGTAACTTTCTAGCTTTCACTCCTCCATACGAAGTTGAGCATCACCAGTGACTACGAAGGTTTGTACATTAAAATCTGGTTTGCAATAACAATGGCTGTTTATTTGCGGTATTTGAATAGTTTGAGATGAGGTTCATTAACGACTTTTTCTGGTTTTAAAAGTCTTTTGATGTTCTTCATCATTCTGGGAGTAGATCATCTCCAATTTCTTCATCTGCAAATTCGTCCTCAACTTGCTGTTGTCGTTGCCTGCCAGCAGTCTTGGGTCTTGCAGGAGCCTCTCCCAAGGGGTCTGCGTATGTAGCATCTATCATACATGGAATAAGAATCAGCAGTAAAATTTTTACAGAATTATTAATGCCCACCGTAAGAAACCACCCAAAGGGAAGATTTAATGCTTAGCTACGAGAGTTGGTCGCTTGCAAGAATCGTACAACAGGAGCGTCTTTGGAGAGGAAGTTCCTAAGACTTCTACTATTTGGTAAAAAATATTTTACATGGAATCTCTAAGATACGGTATGTGTAGTTCCACGTCGCCACTAAAAGCTTTTCACACACTCTTAGTTGCGTTGTACATGCGGTGAAAAAAGAGATCAGGCCATGGGTCAAGTGGTCGCCCATACGAGTAAAGGACGATGGCTCGTTAGGGAGCTTAAGCAGCGACGTTTTTGAGCGACGCACGTCAACCGGAAGTGAGGTATTTTCCCTCTTAACATGCCTTGATGATATAAAATTTGTATTCCTTAGCTTCTTTACTGTTATAGAGGCGATTTGACTGAAAATTTGCGCGAAACCACCGTCAAAATTTGAAAAAAGGCCACTTCCGGTTGACGTGCGTCGCTCAAAAACGTTGCTGCTTAAGCTCCCTATTATAAAACCGTCACCTCCAAAACGCGGTCGCGGTCGCTTACCAGAGGTGCTTGTTTACGAGAGGTTCAACTACAAGGCTTTGACTGGGGAAATTCTGGTGTTCTTGATAGCTGATCGCTTACGAGAGGTGGTCGCACATGAAGGTTCGACTGCATGTAGTGAGTAGCAACGCGTACACATTTTTGGTGACGATGTACAGCACTACCTCTTAGCACTTGCATGTCTTACTCTTTAAACCCTAAGATCAGAATTTGAATTCGCATTTGTTGCCCCTTTTCATTTCCTACAGAACTAGTGGGGAGAATTTGATAAAATATCACGCAAATTTATCTTGTGTGATCATGTCTGTAATTCTCATGACCACTCTGTTTTACAAAGCATTGATATTACAAGGAGAAATTTCATGCTGATCACTCTTAGGGCTTAAAGGTATAAAGCACAAGTCACCACCAGCGTTGAGAGCGGAATATGTTTTAACAGCAGTAGCTCTCAACAGTTTGGTTAGCAAAAGTCTCGTAAATACGTAAAGTAACCGCATTTCAAATTTCAGTTATAATCAGCGTACTGTTGTAATCTACCATTAGGCTATTTTATCTGAAGAGTGCTACACCATCGTGTAGTACGAAGTTATATAGTACTAAAATGCCTAGTCGAATCTTCATGATCAGTTGATAAAATATTGTACTTCTGGCCCTGGTTGTTCAAACGTTGGATAGCGCTATCCACAAGATAAATCACTAGCCAGCGGATAGCGTAATTGATTTCCGTAATACTTCTCCGCTGGATAGTGATTTATCCGGTGGATAGCGCTATCCAACGTTTGAACAATCGGGGCCTGGTAAATAAAAAGGTAAACATATTTGTGCAGGAAGCTAGGTTTTTGGTTTTTGGTTTTTGGTTTATGGATTCATAATTTATGGAAAAAATACAACACAGAAACAGTATATACTTAAACTCACCAACTTCCTTTGATCCACCAAAACTATATGAGTCATCGTTATCAGGGATAATAGGTCTTGCTCGCCCAGCAGAGCGGTTGGCACTTCTTCTTCCCCCACCTCCACTATCCACGCGCCCTGACTCTGAAACAGTCAACAAAAGTGATAAAAGAAGGTGTCAATTTCTGTTTACAAATTTGGGTGGTTTCACTTGCAGCATAGCTGTCGCATCTGCGAGTTAATTTTTTAACTGTTTTCTATCGTAAAAACCAAAGAAAATTCCAACTTAGAATCTTATTCAGGTATACAGGGGCCACACCAAAGAGAGGTCGGTGGACTAAAAGACGTATTTTATACCGAATCCGGTTAGGCACTTGTAAACAATGTTGATCACAAAAGACTGGTGTGACGCGATTGAACTTAGGAAGAATCGGGCAGACAGTGCAGGTAGACAGCGGCGTTTGCGTTTGCGTTCATATTTAAAGGAGCTGTGTCACGAAATTCAGCCAAAGTAGGTAATTACAAAATGCCCGTTAAATTAAGAGAAACGTAAAAATAACCGCTTAAAACATTAAAGAAAGGTTAAATAACACAAAAGATACAACAGATGCCACGGATGGGCAAAACTGAAGAAGACTGAAACGGATTGGAATTAGGGTTTTTGAAAACTGTTCAGCCTAACAGTTTTTCAAAGTTGATCTCTGCTGTTTGCAACTTCAAAAATAATGCTCAGGAGACATATTTGTTTGTCTCGAATGTCTGCTCGTGTCACTTACAAGTAATTTCGTTGCTTACTTTAAGTTCCATAGCGATTGAGGGCGAGTAACTGGCAAAATTAAACAAAATGAACTGGACTGCCGTGACACAGCCCCTTTAAGCCCCTCCTGTAATTCCTGGCCATGTAAAAGTAGGAATTTAAACTGTTTGACTTATGAGTGCATTTCAAAGGTATTTTTCGCTCACCACTTCCCGCGCTGCTATTTCGTGAGTTAGTAGACCCGGGCATAGTGGCACTTCCGGCTCTTCCACTTCCTTTTCGTGATCCACTGCTTGCACGCTAATAAAAGACAAATTCGAATAATTAATCATAAGCACTTTACCTGAACCTCACGAGGTTTTGCGCTACACGTATTTTCAAGTTAAACGAACTACGCGACTGACAAGCAACACAAAAGACTTCTAAAAGCCATGCCATAAAGAAACATAGGCTCGCAGAGAAAAAAAAAAAATGCACATGCACTTTATTTGAATGTCGACGTCTTTAGCACGAAAGTACTAATTGGGGACAAGCTAGCCCCGAGAATGGAACTAGCGAAATTGCACTCTGCAGGCCAACGCTTTACTAATGAAGTTTCACCTTCCATGGTTAGTGCTGTTCGGTCTACAGCAAAAGGGAACACAAAAAATAACTTTCTCGCTGCTGTTTTTCACGTACGGAAACTGCAAAAGCGTATACCTTGATTGGCTATTTACACACATAAGTTGGCTGTATTTGCCAGCTAGCTATCTACCTTTTCAGTATCCAAAAGGCACGCTAGTCGAGCGAAGAAAAGAAAAAAACAAATACATAAATATTTACAAGATACCTGTTGTTTCAACTCCCTCGCTTTTTCTGCTTTCTTTAATTTCTGAGCATAATCTTGAGCGTCTTTTAATCCAAGATCTGAACAAATTCTCACCAAGAATTTAAGGCCTTAAAGATTAACACATTATTAACGATCAATACATTAATTAGAATCCACTAGGCAGCAAAGCTTTTTCTTCACTCTTCCAGTAATAGCACTTACATTCCACATTGTCTGGAAACCTTTTGTGTATTGTCTTGTACGTTTCCAGAGCTTGCTGATAATTACCTAAGAATGAAGAATAATTCAACAGATCAACAAATGATATTCTGGTTAAAAATACTGACCAACTACACAGAATTACTGTTTTGTCTAAATTACAGACCACATTGTACAGCTGTATATAACACTGTATGTACTGATGCACTTATGCTGAGGGACATTTCACAATGTTTTTAAAAAAGTTTTTATGAAGTACGCGCAAAACCACTAACCGCTTCTTCTGTAACAACTTGCTATCATGAGCTGCCATTTGACTTCATTCGGTCTGAAAAGAAATGTCATTAGTCTGTTGTTGTACTGGAGCATTTGTAAAAAAGATGTTAGTTTAAAAGAACGTTATGAACGTTGCTATTTTTCTCGCCGTATCTACGTCAAATGTGGAATTTAAAGGACCTGTGACTCAAAACTTGACCAAATTTGTGAACTGGCCACCAAATTGAGCCACACTGACGCACAAAAATAATCACCGCTTAAAACTTTGATGGAAAACAGTACAGATGGACAAATTTAAAGACGATGAAACAGATTGCAACTGGAGTTTATGTAGCCTGACGACATTTCGCGACGCTGGTTTTCCTGCGAAATGACGTCTGAACAAAGGGCGCCATTTTATTGTTTTGGGACACCATCATGGCGGATGTGACGTCACGTGAAAAGGCTCGGGGTAGTCGGGGGATGAGTGCGAGCGCATTTTCAAGAAGAGCGGCTGGTAATCTTCAAAATATGGTAGTCTTCAGAAGACTAAGGGGCTTTTTACATTTAGGGAGGAAGATCCTAGAGGGCGGATCATCCTAACGCCATATGTTTTCTGTACTCAGTTTACATGCAAAGGGTTGTACTTATCCCTAGCCCTAGGATCTTCCTAGTAGTAGGATCTTCCTAGCTGAGAGGTAGGAAGATGCTGGCGCTAGAAAGATCCTAGCACCATGTGAACTGCTTTCGCTCGGAAGATACTAGTACTAGGGACAAACGCGACAAAAATGTCGGCGGGTCCTTCAGTGGCTAATTACGGCAATAAAGGCCGACCATTTCGTTTGGAGCAATCCACGAGCAGATTATTGTGTTAATTCAGCTGAAAGGTTGTGATTTACGCCAGTAAAGAGAGCGGAAGGACCCAAATTGCATTTTTTTATTTTGTCGTCCGCCATCAGTTTAATTCCTTCTCTAACCTTCTCTACTTGGACAACTCACTGGCCGAAATTTCTGCATGTAAACCCAGCGTAAAGTTATTCCACCTTCTAGGATCTTCCTGGTACCAGGATCTTCCTCCCTCCATGCAAACAGCCCCTAATTTAGGACCATCGGCCGCACAAAGTTATTTAAAAGACTATTAACATTTGCGGTAAATACCCTTGGGGACCGTTTGGCTTAAAAAGAGAAAATTTCAGGCCAGTATAAAGATAACTTACTGTATTACAGCAGCTTTCTCAAAGTAATGAATTGCTTTTTCACAGAACTGTGAGTCAATATAGTAAGCCCCAAGCCAAGAGATGATGTCAATATTAGATGGAAAATATCTGTAGGACTAAACAAAGCAAATAACAGTTAGCACACATAATTCTTTTATGATTGCACAATGAAAAATGGTTCCTCTTTTCTATGGCCTGTTTTGCACGAATAAAATAGTACAAAGTCTTGCCCTTAGAGATATTCATGAATGATGATTTCCAATCAAGATGTTACCTCAAAGTGATACTGGAATGCCTGTGACTTGTCCTGTTCACTGTCATAAAGTTCACCGAGCTTGGATAGCACTGAAGGATCTGTAGGTACAACTGACACAAGCTGCATGTACCTTGGAGAAACACACCAACAAAACAATCACATCATCAGTTGGACATCATATAGTGTCTCAAAATAAAGGCTGGACTCTTGTAATGCGGTTCTAGCTTTTGAGTCTGTGGACGAAATCCTACGATGTGACCATTCAAATGAAACCTATTCAGCAGTACTTTCACATGCTACTTTCAAGACCCCTCAAGCTACCAAGCTTTGAACGTCATCGTGTTTAAATAAAGGTTTCATTTTTGTTTTGTTGTTGTACTATCAGTTTAGTACGACACTCCGGAAAGGTTAATTGTATTTTTTTTTTTCACCAGAACAGTTAGAACAGTTAAAACGGTTATCTTGTTGAAGAAGTTTAAGTCTTCTCCAAAGGGCAAAACGATTAAGAGCGCGCACTACTTGGAATCAGCTCTCTACTATAAACTATGTTGGAATTAAGAAAATATCGTTTTCGTATTCGTCCTTGTCTTAGAATTTAAAGGTCTCTTTTACTCAGGAGTGGCGAATAATTCACACTCACGAGGGTATTTTTCTTCTTCCGCCAGTATGAAGGGCTATTTGTAATCTATAAGTGAGATTTGTTCACCAGTACTTACACAAAGTGAAATGAGAACACGATTGTAGAAATCAATGGAACTCATTCAGGACAATAAATATCATTTCTAAAACTAGGGTCGACATCACTGTCATACATGATGTCGATTTGAGATATCATGAATGTTGCACAATGGGGCAAAGAAACTTGAGAAACAGCAAAACTGAGCGTTACAATGTATCTATTGTTTCTAGTTCTACAACTTACCATTCTATAGCTTGATTTTTATCTTCTAACAATTCATATCTTTGGTTCCAAGTCAAAGAAAAGACATACAAGAACGTGAGTTAAAGCAAATACATACCAATACATGTAAACTGATTAACAGAAAATAAATACCTTAAAGCGCCAAGCAAAGAGGTTATATCATTAGAGCGTCGCGCACACTGAGCATAATTATCTTATATTTTTCACCTTTAACCTAACAACGACTGCTCAGTGATTTAGCAATCTTCTTATCTGAAACCCTTGTTAACAGAACCAGATTTCTAGGCACTGAGCAGGTTTGTTTTTTAATAGGGTGTCTCTGTGATTGCATTTAATAAACTAAATCCAAATGGGTCACAGAAAAAGAGGATACAAATTTGCAATCTGATAAAGAACTTGAGGGTGATTTCGGAGGATCGCTTGAAGCTTGTGAAAACAATCAAGAGCATCTTCCAGCCGGTTCATCTTCTTATGCACAAGACCTATTAATATGAGAGAGAAAAGGAGGAAGAAACAGAGCTAAATGGCATCGTTTTGTACAAAACAGGACTGTTCTTGACTACCTGAAAGATTTCTCCCCCATTCGAAAGAATGGGCAAACACGTCCCATCAAGTAAACACTTAGTCATAGTCCAAATCGGATTCAAAAGTGCATTTTTATTATATATCAAATTATCATAAAAGGTTTGAAACTAACCTAAAAGGATATAAAAACAGTCAAACGATTAGGACAGGAACATTGTCTTCAACTGACCACCCTCACAACATGAACTAATTTTTAACCCCCTCAAAGACATCGAGCGATCTTGCAGCTCTCGGAAGACATCACGGGATTTGTTGGGAAAGCAATAAACGTGCAAAGTTAACAATGGAACCGACCCCAAAAACAAAAGGGCTGTGACCCATAGGGGTCCAATTACATTAGAGGTTCTGAAGAGTTGCAAGACTAATGGAGAGACCACATGGAGACAGAATGGCCGAATGCATTGTTAGAGCATGGCATTGTAATGAGGTCATGCTTTCAATCCCTACTGAGAACAAATCCCTTTAGTGGTTAGGGCAGCGGCGAGTTCAACTGCTCGGCCTTGCTCGTAAACAGCCAACTGGTCTGACTCCCTCCAGTTGGTACTCTTAAGGTTATGGGTCATAATGAAAACTACTGGCCCCAGTTGTTCCAAAGCTGGATAACATTATCCACTGGATAATGTCCAATCCGCTGCATAGTGCAGTTAGTTTTCCTAATACTTATCAGCTGGATAATGATTTATCCGGTGATAGCACTATTCAAAGTTTGAACAACCGGGGCCTATTTTAAAGAACAATTAATTGTGTTACCCCTGTAAAGTCATCTTTTTCTGCCATACCTAAATTAAATAATGCTTCAGTGCAAGATGCTTCAACATTGTAGGCCTCCTGATAATACTCTCTTGCTTTCTCATAATCACCACTAGCAAACAAACAGTTGCCTTTGTTAACCAATGCTGAAAAGAAATTGAGAACCTGAGTGAGATGTAGTTACGTTACTTATAACTACTGTTGTTTAAATGTCCATTCGACTCTTGCACAAGGCCATCTTTTTGATGACCCCACCCATCCTTCTAAAATTCCAGTAAGCGCTGATCTAAAGTGTAACTTCTCTTTTAAAAAAGTGGATTTAGGAACCATTCCCACTCCCCTTCACCAAATTTCCATTGACCTTTTTTTTTTTAGAAAGTATGTTAATAAAATTAACTTAACTCGTCAAACCTAATAAACATTTTTAGGGTTAACCCTTTTTTTTTAACAAAGAAAACACTTAACACTTTTAATGATTAAATAAGGTCAAAATGAAAAAAGCCCTTATGTCTGATTCTTTTACCTGTGGCAATTTCACATAATCTTGTTAAATTCTAGATGGCGATCTGAGATCGTGACATGTTCTCTTAAAACTTAGAGATGATTTTTTGGATTATCCTCTGTAGGCTGGTTTCCAAGTGAAGGGCATTTTGATTATCAAAGAGGCCAAATAGAAAGAAGGGAATACTAATGTGACCAAAGATTCACTTCCTTGTCTTAAATGAACCAATACAATTACCACTGCAACCTCTTTATCACATACCAGCAGGGTTATAGCGATCAGCTGTTATTGCGAGTTCTGCATACTTGTCAGCTTGAGACACCTCATTTTCCTAAACAAAATATACAAAAAGTTACACTATTAACAACAACTTACAGTTTGTATCCCAATGTAATTCCTGGTGACCAGATGAGCCAGTAGTCCTAATTTCCTGGTTGTAGTTACAATATACATTTGTGGCACAAATGTGACCAGCATTCATTTAGACTTCCTCTAAGAATGAATGGAATGCATACAGTGCAATCTGATCACAACAATTGGACCTTCTTTCACTCATAATCTGATCATGCACATTTTGACTTTTTTATTTATTGAAACTAACCCAAAGCACAGCATTGGAACAAGAGCGTTTGTATCAATCTCACCTGCACTCCCTAGCCTTTGGTAATTATTAGTTATAGTTTTAGATACACTTACACAATGGCAATAACAGTATTGCGTAAGCTTAGTGGCTTCCAAGAGACTTACCAAAAAGTACAGAAATGACAAATTAGTTGCCGCAGTCGACTGGACTTTGGAGTCTTTCTTCTCAAAACCTTTAAGGGTTTCAATTGCCTGGAAAGAATAAGCAGACCTGGATTTAATTAATGATATCAATATTTTATTCATGCACATAATGACACAAACAGTGTGTCCATTCATGTGCAAATATATATACATATTCTGTAGTTCGGTGGGTACAAAAAATGCTCTCAAAATGTTTTAAAATTCTAAAAAAGCTGCTAACGTTTATGCACTAACAGGGCATTCGCTCTAAAAAATAATAAAACAAAATCTGTGAAGGAGGAAATAACTAAGTAGGTGGCAAAAAAAGAGCAACTTTCACATGATGCAAGTGCAGCTGCATATGGGATAGGTACACTGTATGGGGGGGGGGAATCACTTCCCCTCCACAGGGGGAGTCTGGAACCCTTCCCCCCCTGATGAAAAATTATAAGGGCCCTGAAAAAGGCATTTCCTTTTCAGTGGATTTGGAGTGAAAAGGAAAAGAACTAATATTACTTTAAGCATGAGCATGGCATCTCTACTTGCCAATAATTATATTAACTTTTTAATTTTATTCATGTATCCAGTGGTTTCTTACTGGAAAGAGGTGCTGGTGCATGCATGGCGTTTCTCTTACAACTACATTGCAGACAAAGATTTTTGGCAGTCACCTGGGTTTTCAAAGACCCTTGCAGGTAGTACGCTATGTAAGGAAGTTGCAAGGCTTTTCTTGAAATTACTTTTACATACCTTAGCAAGATCCTTCTCTTTCAAATATGTAATAGCCTTCGTTATCTCAAGTTCATTTGCTAGCTCCAAGTAAGGTGATGCCTTAACACACTCAATACACCTGGAATGAAGAGACCTCCAGTCAGTAAAGTAGTTATGCTTGTTAATTATTTGTTTATTAGGCATCCTGCTATACTTGTGCTATATATGTATCTATCTGCAGGAAACCTTATTGTGGGCAGTTAGAGGAGCCTGCACAATCCTAACTTCCAAGTTGCTGTTATGCATGAACGGCTTGTATGGAGCAAGCATTCATTTGGACTTCCACCAATAATGCATGGAATGCAGAGAATGCAGTCTGATCATGTGCGTTTGGACCTTCTATCACTTGGAACTATAGACACAAAGCAAAGTGATCTATCTTGCCTGCACTTCCTAGTCTTTGGCTATTTACTAGTTAATGCAATCATTAATAATTCATAAATAATTTATATTGAAAGCTGATTACTCGCAATGTCAAAAATGACCAAATTGATGTGCTAACTGTGACTTACCAATCAAACCCTGCTGCAAAACTGCTCTCAATGGCTGGGGATATGAGCTTAGCAGCACTCATTATGCACCTGTCAGCTTGGGATTTCCTTCAAATACAGTGAAAAATGTTGAATTAGTTAAATAGATAGAGTCCTGTACAAAAAGGTATTACATGGCTATCGTGCATGTATAATCAAAATTAATGGCCAGTCATGTACACATAAGAATAAAAGTAAACTACCATTTGGAAATTAAGAGTATTTTTCAACACAAACAAAACTTACTTTTGCCTTTCTATTTGCCGTAATTTGTCATTCCTGATTACTTCTAGAATCAATGCCTGTTGGGGGTCATCCTGTTTAAAACATGGAAAAAAACAATAATTTATTATTTACCAAACGGTACCTTGCATAAATAATGCAGGCCGCCTGGGAGGATCATTCCTAGAAGCAACCACAGCTCCATGCCAGGTACATACACTTTTTCTGCTTCTTAAGGATGTCCACTTAATGTCATCGTTTTGGAAAAAAAAAACAGCCTATTGTTTGGAGAAAGTGTTTGGACAAGTAATTTATTAATAATGATAGAGGCTGTGACCAGTGAGTCATGGGAAACCAAAGTATAAAATAAGACATAAAATGAATTTTATGTGTCACATGCTTATATAATAAGACAAATATAAGACAAATTACATTTTTCGTTGTTGGCACAATGTGATGGGAGAAAACTGTGGCTTTCAGAAAGATTTGAAGCAATATCAAAATCAAAGAAACGTTTCTGAGCAAGATGAGTCTCAAATGTGAGCTTCTTGCTGCCTTGGAGTTACTTTTAACCTTTCTGTTCACATTATGTAAGAATTAATCTAGCAGTATTCAGAATCAGATAATAAAATTAATTTTATTGATTTATAAATAAACCACACCAGTTGATATAAAAATAAATCGTATCCTTACCCCTGTCAAAGTGTACTTGTCGTCATCATCAAAGCCAAGACTAACAGTTAACAGCTTTTGAAATGTCTTTTTCATTTTCTCTTTGTCTCCCAGAGCATAGTAGCACAAAAGTAGGTTGAATCCTGTCTGAAAGCTCGCCTTCTCAGCCATTATGTGTTCAAATGAGGTGACAGCGTCACTGAACTGTCCCATCTTGACAAATGACACACCAATATTTTGCATGATCTTTATCCTGGCAATAGAAAAAAGAGTTTGTTAAATCAGACTTCAAGGCAAAGAAAAATTCACCACATTCATTAGCTACCCAAAATAATTCTGGAATCATCAACCATCAATATACCTTTTGTATACAGCTGAATCTTCATTTTTTGAACCACCTTGAACTACTTTGCTTTAAATAGGAGGTGGCGTGGCCGAGTGGTCTACGCATCAGACTCACAATCTGGTGGTCCCTAGTTCGAGTCCCGCTCTGGCTAGCTACTTGCTGGATTTGTTCTTGGTCATCCCGAGTTCAAATCCTTGGCCACGCTTGTGGATAGCCAACTAGTTACCTCCTGCCAGTTGGGGTTTTTAATCCTACTATGTTGTATTTGAATTACTTGTTTCTAAGTATTTGAGTGGAGTGCCTGTAAACTAGCTGGATAAGCTAAGTGCCCTTTCCACTATAAACAAGCCTTAAACCTTAAACCTCAAAAAAGCCTTAACCGTGGGAAAAGCATATTGGTTCAAATGACTGGGAGATTTGAAAAATCAGGGATAAAATTACAGTGTTTGAGTGGTGAAGGGAAGTTAGGTTTTGTTCAAATTATCAGGAATTTCAAAAAACCGAGGGCTTACGAAGTTAAGATTCTTCTGTACCATAATAATAGTGATTGTCCTTGTTTGTAAACTAAGCTAAATAAAAGTTCCCGCATCAAAAGGCCAGTATGCAATTAAAGCACAGGTTTATACCTCATATCCTTGTGGGTGTTTGGCACTTGATCCAAGGCCATTCTATACTGCTTTACAGCTTGGGGGTATTTCTTTTGCTCATAATAAATATTTCCCATATTAACTCGCAGCCGACCTGAAAGGAAGGACATCAGGGTTTATCAAACATATTGATTGACAATGTACTGAGCAGACTGAGAATAATTTGACATTGTTCATATGCATTATTGAAAAAATGTGAGCTAGTCAAGATCACTGGATATTGGCCAACTTCTGTTTGCTTGTTTAAGGACCAAAATGAAGTCAATGTTGATGAAAACACAAAAAAATAACAAAGCCAAAATGTATCCAACCATCTTGACCAAACAAGCTTATTAGGTCAATAAAGGATTTATTATACATAAATTATAAGGCCAAAAGGAGAACTTGCAAGATCAACATGGGAAATCCTGAGCAGGCAAGAAAGGTCTATCTTGCCTGTTCATACACAGGTAGTCAAGCAGAACACAGGAATAACTACATCTTGCCCGCTCATGGACTCAAACCTATAATAAACTACAATGTTTCACTTTAACCCAAACATCACAAAGTAGGCAACGCATACTGCAACACTCTGCTATAAAATATTAGAAAATTAGACTTACCTGCATTGCTAAACATCTTATTTTTGACAATGACCTGGTAAGTGTTCAGTGCCTCGGCATACATTTTATTAGCATGGTATTGATTGGCCAGGTTGAATAACACCTAGTACATAAGGCAGGAGAGATACCATGTTTAAATAACAGAGGTAAGCAAAATAATGTACTGTGCATCATCCATCTGTTCTCTATGTAGAACGTGAATTATTACTTGATAAGTAAACTGTCACACATGTATTTGAGCAGCATTGAATTTCCAACTGCATCTCACAAATGTGAAAAGACAAAAAATGTCATTGAATTAGCTTGTCTCAGTCACACAATGAAAACAGGGGCAGATTCAGAAAATTCAGAAATAGGGGTGCAGAACCCTTGCCAGCTATACAGACACTGCATTTATTTATTTTTGAAAAGAATTTTTTTCAAATCTTACATAATTTCACAGAAGGGAAGGTGGGGAGTGCGTTCTCCTTGGACTACGCCTAAATCCACCCATGGACAAGTTCTTATTAAAGGCGAGGTGTCTGAATTTAAGCTCCAAGTGACTTTTTATAAACTGCTTGATTCTCATTGCAATTTTCCTTGTACATGTATAATCAAGAAACATTTTAGGGAGAATTTGATACCACACGTACATACGCACTAACTCAGGGCCATATTTCTCCCACCTCTTCAACTGGTATTCCGCAAACCTCCCTTGAAAACATTTCCAAAAGTAAAGGAAAAGAAATTTATTTATGCCAAGAATGCTCAAAAAAGCATCATTTAACGAAAAAGTGGAAACATGGTACTACATACAGTCTACTTACAGAGTACGTTAAGTCAAGGTTGATCTGATCACCAAGCGATGTCTGCTCCCGCTGTCGACACAGAGCACGTTCTTTCCTACCCGCCTCTTTGGCTTTTTCAAGTGCCTTTAAAGATAAAACAAAAAAAAAATTAAAATAAAAGTCAAAAGGATGGAAATACTAGCCCTGGGCATTTGAAGATATTTTAAAAAAAATACTAAAATAAGGATGGAAAACTGATTACTGACACATGTATGTTGAACAACTGGTAATAATTCTCACTAAAACCATAAAAATTAAGGGCTGTCTGAGAACATCTCAGGAAAGAAAATAAAACTGATTATACCAAGTATCCTTTGATACAGTCTGGTTTGTTGTAGAGAAGTACACTATTGCTTACCAATGGGAATTCTCCTCTATCATTAGCAAAACAGCTTTCCTCTATTAGTTCATTAACTTTCTTTTCCATTTGTTTGACTTTCTCTTCTGGACTGTAAGTAAGACAAAAAGAAAAAAAGTGAAGCTAGGTGTAATAACTTCTATTTACTGACCATAGATATGAAGCTTAGAAGCAGTTTACAGTAAATGATCAATTTTCCCTGTTATAGGTGCAGGGCTTATACAAGAGCAGTGCTTATTTCAACTATGGGTGCAACACTGAGGGGAATATAGAGAGTATTAAGTGAGGTGAGTACTACAATGGAGGCCAAAATTCTTAGAACAATTAACACAATCTGCAATAATTTTTCCCCCTTTCTACCTCACCCACAAGCAATGTTTTAGTTTGCGCACCCCTGTACACTTTACCCTGTCCTAAAAGTGTTTGTTCATCCAGACGTTGTTTGGAGTGGGAGGGGAGGGCAGTTTGCAGTATCCAAGCTGTTAGAGAAGTGCATGCTATGCTACATCTGAGTATTTGATAAGTTACGGGTGTGAAAGGAAGGTTTTCAATTAACCGTTCCAAGGATTTTTGTCCTCCATTGTAGGTATGCACAATTTAATATGAAATATGTACACCTCCAATTGTTATAATTATGAACCCGATTTCAGGAGTTTCCCTACAATAAAACTTTAGAACTCATGAATTGGTCAAGGTCTTATTTCTCAAGCCACGTGGTTTTGATATCTCTTTATATCAAGGTCCGCAGCATTTATTTGAGAGGGCACTTATTAAATTATTTTCGGTAAAAGTGTGGTGCTTATTGGAGAGCAGCGCTTATTCGAGTAGCTGCGCTTAATAAATTGATCATTTACGGTACTCTTCATTTTTTTAAAGGCCTAATTAATTCTAAATTCCACCTTACACCCGGCTATGATCTTATTCTGTTATCTTTGTATCTTTTAAATGTGAAAAAAAAAAGATTCACTTTTGAAATGATAGTAACTGTTGAAAAAGACCAATATTTTCAACTATTTTTACAAGTCCTCTCTGACTTGGGAAGAACTCAGAGAACACTGAAATGTCTATAGGAATGATCAAAAACAATCAAACACTGTTTGGATGCTGAGTCTTGGTATCGGTATTTCTCTTAAAAATAAGTTGTATAATGTACTAGTATATGTCTTTAGAGATGATTGCTGGAGTTCTAACTTTTTCATTTGATTGATTTAATTGTTTTTGTTACATTACAGGTTAATTAAACTCCGAAAAAATATACTAGAAAAAGATGGTGACAAGGAAACCTGAATTAGAAGCCTGGGACTTATACCGGGTCCAGGCTCCCCCTGTATTAGTTTAAGGTTGCTCAATACAGTTGACATAACATAGAGGAAAGACACTGCGATTTTACAAAATAAACTACTGACAGCATAAACTAGGATACAGGAAAAAAAGAATAGGAATCATAGGAAACTAAGGGATTGGGAACTAAAAGGGTTATTACTTTGAAAAAACAATATTTACATCATCATTCTTTCACTCTGAGGACATGATGAGTTTTACCTTTCTTCACCCTTTCCTTCAAGAGGTGGGGCAGGTAGACGTGCCTGATTAAAGGGATCAAACTGACCACTTCCAGTCATTGTATTTCCTGTTAAAATGCATAGAAATTATAGCAATAACAATGCTTAGACTCAAGTGCATCATGTACATGTAAACAGATAAACACAACCAAATTTTATAATCTTTATGAATGAAAGAGTTTTTTTTATCTCTTCTGAAGAATGTGCCAACCTTTTAGAACAAACTGTAGGGTAATAGAAGAATAAACAAATAGGCCACTTTCAATATTTTCTTTGTTTGTCCTCTAAGACTCACTATCACGCTGAATTTTAATATATCAAAATTAGTCTGTCTGAATGTTACACATTACCTACAATCCCGGTCAAAAAAACTAAGAGCACTTCCAATTTGGGGGCATGCACAGTATAACAGTCCCCTTGCCGCTGTGAAGTGTTGTTAAAAAGCGCAGTTTGGGAAAGCTTCAATAATTTTCAACTTTGTGAAGAGGGAGGAGGGGGAAATGGACTAAGTGCTCCAACTATTTTGCCTGGGGTTGTACACCTGTAGGAACTAGCAAAGCAAAACAACAGCTGGTAAGGATTTACTCAGTCTGAGTGAGTAAATACTATCTCTGAATCTATTTTACAGTGTACAAGCTACCACAGCACAAATATGTTTTCTTCCACTGAGGGATGGCAAACAAAGTACAATAATGTAAATGTTAAGTGATTTGTGTATTAAGATTTTCAACTAATAATAGTGTTGAAAACTCATGTGTATGGAAGAAATATTAGGTCTGTTTTAGTTCCAGCAACAACAAACAAGGTAAAATATTGCTTTAACTTTAACATTGGTTAACAAAAATTATACTTCTATTATAACTGTAAATCATAAAGTAATGAATTCCTTACTTTCTGATGATGCATAACCAACTCCACGAATTGCTGTCATAGGGCGAGCTGTTCCTGTATCCTAACAACAACAAGAACGCTGTGGCATTTAGCATAAAGTAGACTGAACAACCATAATAATGAAGAAGCATTTTGCAGGTGTGCATAAAATAATATTATTGGAATGGCTTTAGAATAATTCGATCTGTATACCAGGTCACAAAACAGTATTACAGTGTATATATACTGGTAAAATAACAAAAAAAATCAATTTCTTACCGCAATCCCAGTAGTAGGTCGACCCATTGAAGATCCTGGTACTTTGCCACGCTAAACAAGAAGATGAAAAAAATAATTAATTGTTACCAATAACACCAATCAGGTCTGGCCAACTGATTTTTGAAGTAATGGAGAAAAATAAAAAATTCGACAGGAATCACACTTTCTTATACATGTAGCCATTAGCAAAATTCCTGGCCCCTAGCTCTCACTGATAGCCTTGGATATTGGAAGCCTTTACAATAGAACAGCAAACTTCGGGGTGTCATAGGACATTACAAGTAAATTTGTCTTGCTTATTAACCCTTTAAACAAGTACATGTACACATCAAAGTGATGTGTGACTGTTTTAGGTTTATCTTGGGGATTCAAATACACACATACCCCAGCTGATGTTGTTATCTTCATCCCAGTTTTCTGTAATAAACATGAAGCACAGCAACAGTTGAGACGTTGCATTAACATTATAACAGGATTATGAACAAATTTTTATCAAGAAAAATTAAACTGAAGAATGTTATTCAACGTTTTGATGTTTCATTAATTCAAACATCATTATCAAGAATGAAAACCATTCAGTGGAACTTGAAGTTCTTAAAAGAGTTGAAGTTTTCATAAACTAGATTGATTGTCCACATAAAAGAAAAAAAGAACACAAACCTATGTAACAAAACATAATTATATAGGACATAAACTGTCCAATAAAAAGTAAAATTATTATTAGGACTGATTAATACAAAGGTACAGGTGTAGTCAATCAGATTTTAGAATTTGTTACACAGGTACCTGTACTTTTTTAATATTTCACAGGTATTAGATGTTTAACTTTAAAACAATGGATATAAAATGTACAAGTAAAATTTTAGGTTGGAATCCATCAGGAAATTGATTAATTCTATTTTTCATTCAGGACAAAAACCTTGTACCAGAATATTTTAAGCCATATTTCATTCTTTTTTACACTTTTCAAGGGCTATAAAATAATGAGATAAGTTTTATGAAACAACTCCAAAAAAAACGTTCTTACGGGAGCCTAAGAAAATAAATTTCAAATTTCACAGGAATTGAGAAAACACAGGTAAAATCGTCATGCATAAGATTTCATTAATATTTGTGAAATTTAAAGCTTTTGAAGTTTGCTTTCTCAGGCTCCTATAGGAACTGTTCTTTGGAGTTATTTCATACAACTTGTTACACTTATAGCCCTCAAAAAGTGTAAAAATTTAAAAAGAATGCAGTATGATTGAAATTATTCTGGAACAGAGTTTTTGTAAACTGAAAATTAAAATTACTCTATTTCAGCCGTAACACCTACCACACCAGGTCTCTGCCCATGACTTGTTTTTAGGGCTTGTTGAAATTCTTCATCCTCCTCAAGGTTCTAAGAAATTAATTAGTAAAATTTGTCAAGTTAGAAACCATTAAACACTAACATTACATGTAACTATGCAACTGAAGGTATACAGTAGTTTTCACCTTCTGAGAATCTAATCACAGCTATATATTTTTTATATTTTACATCAACAACATGTACATATGTTGTACATATGTACATATCAACATGTACATATGTTGCAATTACTTGATTAATAATAAAATGAATTTTACAGTTTTCAATGAAAAGAGAGGGGGAATAATATAACATTGTTCACTGTGTTCAAAGAGTAAGGGAAGTAAAAATCAGAGTTTCTAACAGGAATTTTAACCCAGGGCTGTCACCAAGATTTCAAGGTGCTGGGTAAATACAACAAGTAGGTGGGGAATCAAACAGCTACGGATTTCTTTTGGTTCTATTTTTCTTCTGTTTTCCAATGAAAGAAGCCGGGGTCCATGTTCATAGAAGCAGGGGAAATTCAATTCCCAGCCCCCGGCGTTAATAACAGTCCTGTTAACCAGAACAAAAATACTGAGAGTGACTCCAGCATGTTCTTTTTTTTACCTCTGTCATAGCAATAGAACCCTGATACAATTGTGCAGTTAATCAACAAAATATATCATTTTGACAGATGTTTGCTAAACAAATGTTCTTTGTTCCAAACTATCCCGTCACATGGTGTGACATTCTTCCATTTGAGTCTAAATTACATGTATGAACATTGTAGTACAATGAATCCTGTATAAGCAAACCTCTATGAAGCTATCACCCTCTTTTACACTCTTAGTAGTCACTCATGCAGACACTTTATACAAAGTCCTTGAAATCATATCCAAAAATTACTGTAAAAGTTACCTGTATTTAGCAGTCAACACTATTAAATGCTTGTGGCCTCGTAGTACTACCTACGAGAGTACTAACTACAAGAGAATGACTGGAGAACTGGCAATTTGACTAACAACAGACAACTGTTTAACTGTGACAATAGACGGATCGAAACGCACCAATTACTGATTACTCCGTGAGTCTTCATAGCCAATAACATCATGGCTTAACTGACAGACGACCAATAACGACGCAACGTAATTGACCAATCAGATCAATAACCAGAGTATAATACCATCAACTGATGTGATACAACTCACTTTGACTCTGAAGATGACTACCGCACAGGTTGTCAAAACGTCAGTCACTGTCAACTTAACAACAGTCCTATTCAGGACTACAGTCACTCGGACATTCAAACTCAACCTACTTTTGAAATGACTCCTGGGTTCAAACCTTTCACAAGTTACTTTTAATTCTCTTTACCTCTATTAAACGATCGATATGACAAGATGAACCATGAGAAGAAGAGAAGAAGAGGTAGACACTTTAATTTGAAGTCAATTTGTTGTGGGATAGATATTTCACTACTTTTATTTTCTTGAATAACTCGTAGGTTTTTTAAACCTGCATTAAACGGTGAACCTTCATTGAGGGGTCAGTAAGCCATTCCTCACAAATGTACATACATGTAGTCTTTAATTTTTTTTAGTACTGAAATCTAATCTACAGTAGGAAAAACTTCCCTCGTTAATTTTAATTCTATAAAGACAGGAAAAGAAAAATCGATCAAATTCAAGCTCTTCCTAATATAAGCTGAAAACAACATAAGCTTTAAAGCATATGTTGTTTTCAGCTGAATCGATCATCGATGTGCACAAAAAATCATATGCGTGGGAACGTCTGATCTCACCTCGGTGTCAAAAGCTGGATTGTACTCATTAAAGCCACTGTAAAGATCATCTTCATCCTCCCCAACGAGATGGACTGACTGCAGCATCCTGTCAGCTTCTACTTCGAAATTAATTTTTTTCACCTAAGAAGCAAAGATTACTTTGGTATCCATCAACAAATATGGCCGCCCTCGACAACATTCTCGTCCCAGAGCCACTCGGCTAAAAACGTCATGTCCATGCTAAAACGCATGCGTAAATTTCCCGCGCTGATTTTCAAAATGGCGGCAGTTCGTCGTTTGCTAGAATCTCGACATGTCTACACACAAAATGAATGGCTTGAGGCATGCATAAGCTTTGTCAAGGAAGATAACGAGGCTTGCGTTCATCTTCGTCATTACTTCTGGAGTTTAATCACTTAATGTATTGTCTTAACTGCGATGAATCGATCACAGGAGGGACAGCTGACACCTACCCAACTGAACGAGCTGGTGTATGAGCAGTGGTTGATGGCTGAAATTCAAGAATCTAGTCTTCCTCGCTTACCAGAGGGGCTTGGTAACACGGATATCTGCAAACTAGAGGGATTTTTCAACCTACAGGTCGTTATTTGCATTCACTTTAGTTTAGTTGTGTTTTCTCGCGTGTAATGTATGATACGTATACAGTCAATTCCCTCGTTCCGAGACCGCCCCCCCCCCCCCGTCACCTCCAGTCATACCCCGGACATTTGACTGGAGTTTTGCTCTGCACTTGACCCAAATGAGGCCCGCCTGGTCAGATATTTAACTCTAAACACCACAACAGACTAAGACTGTTGTTTTGGGAACAGGCCGGTATGTGCCTAGTCTGCTACACAGCCGTTTTTAGTGTCGTCACGCAATGCTCCTCCCCACAAACGGCTGCTGGAAACTGAACTACATTCCTTTCCCTTTGTGTTTGTGGTCTAACGAACAAGCCAATCACGTATAAGAGATTTGACAATACGTGAGCCGCAGGGCGCTAGGAAGCGAGCACGCTTCTCAGTTTTCGACAAATCAATCAATCGTCGCTGAATTTAGACGGGCCCTGTGTTTTCAGGCAAGGAAAAGGTTAATTTGCAAAAAAGTTTGTTTTAAGTGAAAAAAAGTGAAAAAAAGGTTTGATGGGCCTGGAAGACTTTCACCAGGATCAGTTGGTTCTTCATTTAACGTGCATATGTACTGATATGTAATAAAGAATTTAATGTGCCGGATGTGCTCATTGTGTTCTGTGAAGACTAAACTCTCCAGGGTACTGATTCAAAAAGTAATCTTATAAATTATCGATGAGCCATTTCCCGAAACTATACCTGGCAACTTTATGAGCACATCCATGTTGTGCATCGCAATTTGCTTGACTTGCTTGCTGCTGCTGCTTATCTCCTAAATTTTGAATAGGACTCGACTACGACAACACTGCTGTAGTTAATAATTGCTTGTTTTCACGCGACGATTTTTGGTTATTCTGTCATTCACACATAAGGCACCGATAAAAGCAAAGCTGTGATTGGAGGAGTCACAGTACCGCAAACGAGGCGCGAACACCTTCCAGAAAATGGGAGCTGAATTATAATTGGCTAATCACGGGAAAGGAATATAGTTCGGTTTTCAGCAGCCGTTAGTGGGAAGGAGCGTTGCGTGACGACTCTAAAAACGGCTGTGTAGCAGACTAGTATGTGCCACCTAGGACCTCAAAATAGGAAAAATGTTTAACTTTATTGCAATGATGTTCCCTAAGAAAGAATAGAGGAAAGAGGCCAATTTTCAATACTTCAGTTCATTAGAACTCTTAAGTCTTGTTTAAGGTTCTGTGCAATTTACATATGTTATTCCACATTCTAAGAAATGGTTCCCCTCTTCATCTAGCTTAGGACATAAATTTATGACCTCTTGGGGTGGCACATACCCATGATAAAATGTATAATAATTATAGGTGTTTATATGGTGAGTTCCCCCATCTGGGTCAGTAGTTTCAATCATTTTTCAGCTCAATACCCTAAAAGATATGAAAACTACTAAAACATAGGTTTTTTTATAAGGTTCCCTTAAAAGCAGGACCAATCCACAAATTCTGACTCTCCATAATATTTAAGATGATGAACACTCCTGCAGTTTTTCAAGAGACCCTTCTTAGAGATACATCGAGCAGGGCTGGGGTCTTGTGCTTTGTACATTTTTGTTGGCAGTGGATTCAGTACTTAATAATAATTTATTCAGCGTCTTTGTTGCAACCCTCCACCTACTTTAAAAAACTGAGCCAAAATTTTTATCTTTTGGTGTCTTTGTTCCTTTTATTACACCTTAATGCCACCCTCTTTTGTTATCTTTTAATTATTGTACTGTGACGAAAGATCTTTTCTTATCTGTATTGTAGATCAATTCTATACTGAATGTTGGAGAGTCAGCTTATTCTCAGATTCAAAAAATGAAAGGTCAGGATGACCCAGAAGATCTAAACTGGAAAAGAAATGTAATGCATTTTATTATTATTATTATTATTATTATTATTGTTGTTGTTGTTGTTATTTCATGTAACTGGTATATCATATAACAAATATCCATACTTCCTGTCCTTTTTTCAAGTAGATCATAACTCATTTTATGATAATTACGATCTCTCAGGGTCTGATTGGTCAAGGGCTATGTTTGATAAGAGTACAGACCCTGGAAATAATGTGATGTTGGCACAATTTCTTTTTCTCTTTCTCATGCACTCAATTTTCTTAAGAAACTTTAACGGAAATGGACATGAAAATTGCCAATGTTATTGTAAAAAAAAAATCAACAAAATTCCATGTTCTGTACTCTGATCGACAATAAAAATGACGTCAAATTGTTCAAAATTTTGCAGTGAAACTACTTGCATGTGGCCATGTTTCCACTTGAGTTTTGAACATTTTCATGCCAGTCATACTTGGTTCCCCCTTACTTGCCAATCTCTCTCGGGATGGACACCCAGTTGGCTGTTGAAGTACTGGTAGAGCCCATGCTGGCCCTTAAGTTTATATAGAGTTTTATTGGATTTTTGGAGGTTAAACTGCATTTGACTGTATTTGGCATGGAATTCCAACTGATTCTGGCTCTTTTATAGAGTTAGCACACCTCCTGAAACAAGGTTGTTAATTTAATTGAATGCATTTTTCTAGGGTTGGTCTGCTATTTTGTTGTTGTTCTCCCTCCAGTTTTATATAAATTATAATTCACTCAAGAGGAGAATTTTATAACGGTTTTGGAAAAGTTCCATAAAAATTTTTATTCCACTTTTATGGATTCTTGTAGCTAAGCCTAGCTCTTAGAAAATGAGGGAAATCCCCCCTGAAATGACAGCCCTGTCATCCAGAGCCAAAGTGCTAAAACAACCAGTAACTCTTGGACCAACCCTTTGCTCCGCCACCCCCACCTTCACCCCTTAGGACTTCAGCCCGTAATAGACAGTAGTAACAATCTCACCTTATACATGTAACCTACATTTACTTATGACTATATTATGCATGCAAGGAAGCTATATAAAGTGGATATTTTTCTTTATTTTCAGCCTTCAGAGCCAAAGACCAAGTCTAGTAGGATGCTACTTCTTGAACTGACAGATGGAACACAGACTGTATTTGGCATGGAATACCAACTGATTCCAGCTCTCAAAGTTAGCACACCTCCTGGAACAAAGGTTGTTGATTTAATCGACATGCATTTTTCTAGGGCTGGTCTGCTAATTCTTTGTTTCAGATAAATAATATTATAGTTTACAAATTGTCATGTTCAGAGTAGCTGGGTTAAATTCCCAGTTCCCAGCCCTTATTGACAGCTCGAACAAGGGATGGTGCAGTTGTGAGAGCGCTCGCTGCCTACCAGTGTGGCCCTGGTTCATATCCCGGCGTCGATGTCATATGTGGGTTCAGTTTGTTGTTGGTTCTCTCCTCTGCTCCGAGAGGTTTTCCTCTGAGTACTCCGATTTACCCCTCTCCTCAAAAACCAACATTTCCAAATTCCAATTCGACCAGGAATCAGGTAGACGAAGAACAACTTTGTGGATGTGCTACCTCCAAATCATCATTATTTATTATTTATTTATTTATTTATTTATTTATTTATTACCATTGACTGCTTTTCTCAGATACAAGTGAGTGGAAACATACCTTGCCATCTGGGAGCATTGCTACTTACAGCTAGCAATGTTAGAGTTCTAGGTGGGAGTGTGCAGATGTTGGAAGGAAACTCTTATTGGAATGTCCTTCATCAGGCCATGTAGGTTGTTTATGTGTAAATAGCATAATTATTCTTATTATCTGCCTATGTTTTTTATTTGTTAAGATTTTGAAAATTAACCAGTAATAATCATTATGATTTCCAAGTGGACATTCAGAGCTTTTTTGAATAACCACGCGAGGTTGCTTTTTTTAGATAAAATTTCAGCAATGAGGAAGAATTTTGAGGTCTGCACTTTTTCGAATTTTTTGTTTAACATACACCCGCCTCTCATCTAAAAGTTTTTTCATTCACCTGTGGTGCAGATTAAATTTCATAAGTATTACACATTCTCTAAAACTCTATCTTTCCCTCAGAGGGCAAGACCCACCTGAGCAGCCTGGTATGATAAAAACAGAAAGCATAGACAATGAGGAGCTTACTCTTGATACAGTAAACACTGAAAATAGTACAGCTGGAGATTTCATTAATAATAATCAGAGGCCACTTGTTAAGACAGAGACCCATCCAACAAATTCTTCCTCTATGGAACCTACAAGCAATGATCAGAGGAACAACACAAGAAACATTTCTGAATGTAGAGGGAGATCAGTTATTAAACAAAAAAGACAAAATGAAAGTAGGACAGTCAGTGGTACTGTGTCTGCAAATTCCCGCAGTAATATCAAAGTGGAAGATGTGAGCAATCAAGATTTCTTTGATAATGACGATGACATAATTGCTGCCATCGCAGATGAAGATTATTTTGGCGTTGATGAAGACTTTGACATGGAACAGATAGATCAGTTAGAGTTGGGACTGCAAAGTGCAAACAACACTGTTACAGCAAAAAGGAAACCAAATGCTAGCACAAGAAATGTTCAAAATGTGGATGTGGAGATGTTGTGTGATGGTGATGACATTTTTTACGATGATTTTGTTCCAAATGAATTGCTGATGGAGGATGAAGAGTATATGGAAATGAAACCTCTTCAACAAAGAATTGGAATGTTGCATCAATCAAAGAAAGCAAGAATAACTTCCCTGGAATCCAGCAGTTATGTTACGAATTTAAGTTCGTCAGATTCTTCTTATCATAGAGTAGAGGCAAACAGAAATTCTTTGCGATCAAATGATGTTTACTCAGTCAAGACAGAAACAAACTATCCTATTTGTCGTGATTTGATGAACACAGAGCCTTTGTCCTCAACCAAAGCAAAAGGCATAATTACAAAACCCTCGGAGGTCTCAAAAAAGGCATCACCATTTCAAGTGAAGAGGGGTATTGACTCCACAATCATCACTGACACTGTTCCTCACGCCAGTCACCCATTTCATGTGCTTGATGATGAATCAAAGCATTTTGAAGTACAAGGTAAGTAAATGGTACAAAGCACATTCAATATGCTCTTCTCACTTATGGTAATATGCCCGTCTAACCTCGTTTACGGGTAAAAATTCTTTTGAAATTCAGATACGAAAACGTCGTCTGATTAGCATTTCAAAGGACTTTTTACTCAAAAACGAGGTTAGACGGGCATATTACCATACGTGAGAAGAGCGTATGTTACATTGCTACAGGTGTTCTTGTCAATAAGACATTTTAAATCCAGTTTGAACAGAAATTTATCTAACAGATATCACACTCTGCATTAAGTCACCGTCACCCCTCTTAGATTCTTATATTAGCTTCGTTAGCATCCCCTCAATTGCTGTAGATTCTTTATTATTATCATAATTTTTATTATCTCTATCTTTATCATTAGCATTAGCATTATCATTGTTATTATTATTATTATTATTATTATTATAATGACTTAATTCCATTTTGATATTTTTGGGGGGGCTTTAGTTTTGTTTTGTTTTTGTTTTTGTTTTTGTTTGTTTGTTTTTTTTTCTTTTTAATAATCCAATCTCAAGCAGCATTTGTAAATTGCCTATACATAGTGAGATTTACAATTGTACATTCAAAAACACAAATAAAGTTTCCATTATTGTTGTTGTTGTTGGTAAATTTTCTTTATGCACACTAAACTTTTAGATTTGGAATATAATGCACCTCCCTTTGAGTACCTATCAGATGTTCTGAAAAGATGTCCAGTCAAGGAACAACTGATTGTTAGAGTCAAGGTTGGTGTTTTTGAATTGTGGATTACTATCCTACAGTCGGGTTTCCTTAATTTGTAGGGTTGGTCTGAATTTAATCCTATCTATTGTAGCTTGTACTACATCTTATTTATTTTTGTTCAAATTTTGTCCCTGCAAATAGAAGATGCTAATTGACCGTTTATTTCTAGGGGTGGGGGGAAGGTAAAACGTTTTGTCTGATTTGTCTGCGAGGGGCTGCATCAATGTTGAGGTGTAAGGGAAGTCTTTAACTCCGTGATTCCTTCCACTTCCTCCCCAACCTCCAAATGCTATTTACTTGGGCCCTCTGGGGGTTTGCCCAAGTCTCAAAACCAGAAACCCAGAAACGGATTCACCAGTCCTGATTTTGTTTACCGTCTGCCCAAACTGTGACCCAACCAGTTAAAGCTATGCTTTTCCTTTTATGATAGGCTCGATTTCCACCACTGACTCTCTCGGGTCAAGTGAAGCTTATTTCCAGGACAGTCCTTTTCACCATACCATCATTATTTTCTTTTCTTAGGCATACATTGCCACCATTGTTTCTCGTTCCAAACCAATGTCACCAAACTGGAATGTCACTGTGAAACTGAATGATGGAACAGATACTGTGGATGCTGATCTCAGTGACAAGGTTAAAAAACAATATGTTTTACAGTTGAGAAAGTGAGTTAAAACAAAAAATAAGAGCTTGAAAAGGGTTTGTGGTATGAATGTTTGTTTGGTCCATATTTACGTGTTTCTGAACATAATACCAGTTATTTGAGACCTCTTTCAGGCAGAGAGAATAAAAATCAATTAAAACCAGCTATAAAGTTTTACAACTAAAAAAACCTGGATTTTATAGGCAGGGAAAGATTCTTCACATGGCATTTGAGAAGTGCATGAATTTTGCTGGAAAATTACATTGGAGAGATCATACTTGACATAAAGGCCTTTAAAAAGTATTTCACTGATTTTCACATAGCCAAAGTAAAGCCATTGTAAAGTAATGCAACGTTGACTTAGGTTATTAATTATACTGGTAATTATTGTATCTTCAGGTCCTTTCTGAGTTGATGGAATTTCCAGTGGATGAATATCGGGTAAGTAGGCCTTGACCCTTTAAGAAATAAGAGTGATCAACATCAATTTTCTC